ATCCCCATCTATTCACAAAATACCTATTTACAACGCATACGTTACACTCTTCAAAACTTATCATTTCATTTCATATTTCTTAAATTACCTATACCTACCCTAAAATTAAACTTCAATTAACAAATACTACGCAGGTACCAATTCTATGAACAACTATAAACAATTCACCTAAACATTACGAGAAAACAAAAGCATTCAAAACAATACCTAATCTGCCGGCTGATTATAATCAGTATTATTAGTAATTACTAATTATGCAATAAACAATCCTAAATAAAAAATATTTAAAAAACATGTAGTTTTTTGTAACACTTATGTACATATCCGTAGTAAACTTGCAAATAATATCCTACATATTTTAAAAGCCAGCACAATGTACTGGGTGATCGCTTTTTTGTAACCACCTAAACATGGTCGGGTTACCACGGTCTTGCACCTTCTAATGACTTTTATTTAATTATCTCGTAAATTATTATATGTACTACGCTGAAATTTTACAGGTAGACAACTGAACTAAACAACTAATTATTGGCATAACATTTAGTTTATATATCCACACACAGGTTTATCGGTGGCCAAAAAAGGCCGCACACATTGTGATCGTGAACGTGGAGAGCTACATTTCATCATAACTTTTTAGTCACTTACAGTATTCTTACGAAAATTCGTATACATTTGAAGGTAGTTACAAGCAATAGAATAACGTTTCAAGTAAGTCTTTAGAGGTCTTATTTAAAGTGTTAGGACGTATTGAAGTGTTTTCATACTTACCTAAATAATTTTTAAACGGTCCATTATTTTTGTTATTTTATTGTCGAACAAATTAAAACTAATCCTTAAGAAGTTATGTACAAAAGATGGTTACAATCCGCTTACCCGTTTCAGAGATCCAGCAAACCCACAAACGTTACTCCAGCAGGATTTCGAATAACTTCGCATCCGACGAAACTACAAATACCAAATAAGTTGTAACATTTACCTAGTCCAGATAACTAATTATTTAGCTAAAATTTATTTCAATATTACAATTAAAAAAGAAAATGTCTGGCTGCGGTAACGTTTCAAACGTTACCCCAGCAGGAAATGTTTTTTTGAAATAACTAAAAAAGTTTAAGTGAAACAAATTTAAAAATGTGCTTAACAATTACAGAAGGGGAGCAACTAATTATCTATAAAGTTTAAATGACCATTTTCGACATTATTTTGCTGGGGTAACGCACACGTCAATGTGCGATATTCAATAATATCCAGAATACGTACTCACAAGAATTATCCATATATATATAAGAGATTTCCACGTATATAGTCACTCATCACGATATCTCTGGAACCATTAGAGCTAAAGACTTGAAATTTGGTAGGAATATTCTTTTCACCGAGTAGAGGTCAGCTAAGAACGGATTTTAAGAAATTAAAAAAAAAAAAAATGTAAATAGCAAAACAAAGTTTGCAGGGTCAGCTAGTCAAAAATAATTCAATAACAGTTACCTAGGTTTCATATGAACGTATTTACTGGAATTGGTATCATGTAAGTTACTACGCAGTTATGATAGTGTAACAGTTATGCAATTGCAGCAAAACAGCGTTTGAATATGCAACGAAATTGCCGAGTTCATGTCTTGTTATTAATAATAAAAAAATAACAACAGGGTAGTCTATTAAAAATTAAAAAAAAACAACATTGCTACGCTTTAAAATTGCCGATAGATTTATATTGTGTATAATCACACGTGAAACGTTTTATGAAATGTTTAGGATTTATAACAGATAAATAATAAATATTATAAGTAGTTTATTTGATAATGTTTTACTAATATAAGAAAACACAAGTATTTTAGAATTTTCTGCTACTTTGCCATGTAAAGGCACATTCTCTCATGAAGTAGTATTTGTTCAACTAGTTCTTTCTTCTTTGCTGACAGAAAATAATCATCATTAACCTAGTTCACAAAATCAACTATATGATTGGAATAGAATAGAATAAAATTATTTATTTCGTTTAAACATGAGTGATACAGTACAATTTTTATATTACCTACATGAAGATGTTATAAAGGTGATATGTACTACATGTTTTACCAGTTCTGGCATACGAAATCTAGTAAAATTTAAGTAGATAAATTATAATTGAAATAAACATTTTCAAATTACTGTCAACCAATTTGCCAAACAAAAAAAATAATTAAATAAAAATAATTTCCAAATTAAAATATTACATTTAGGAACTTTATTCTTGTCTCCATGTACCAGGTCCTGTAAGTTCTCCTGTAAGTGAGTCGTAACGCAAGGCTGTGTTAATCAACCAGATATGTAGGAAGTAAAGAAGTCTCTGAAATTCGCCGATCAAGTGAGGCGTGTCCCTAGCATAAAGTCCACTTGGCCAAGGCGCTATAACATTATCAATAGTTTTTTTTGTTCTAGTAAATCTACATTTCTCAAAAAAAATACATCTGTCTATAGTCTGTCCCATATATTAAAATATTTTTTATTTTTTTCTGCTTCGCTGGCTTCTTTAAGTTCTGTTTTTCCGTCAAATATAATGAACCTAAATATTTTACCAAAACTCGTATAGCAAATCCTATTTAAGAACCCAAAAAAGAAAAATTAAAAATAATTTACATATTTTATTGTTTTGTAGCTACATTTTACATTGGTACATAATAATACATATAAATGCATTGCAACATTATATTAGTCTTATAAATTATACAGTTTATAAATTTTAAATAAACGGATTTTCAATATTTCTTATGTAATAAATGAGTTAACCATATTTAATTTTATAGTACTAAAAATATTAATTAAAATATTCATAGCAATATTACTACCTATATTAAAAAAATATAGAATTTTCAAAATTATAGTACATATAGTACCTATATATTTGAACATATTTGAACTTGAACATACCTACTACATTTTATACATATTTGATATTTTTACACAGTATGTTTCTATCGTTGATATCGTTTGAAAGTATAGTTCATATTTTATTAGAAATATGTTACTTGCACCAAAATTTCAAAACACAAAAGTTTATTTCATGCTATTCCTCAAATTAACAAAAACAAATAAATAAATAACTGACTCATTTTTTTTAAATTTAAATGAAAGCTGTCCACATCAACATTCACATGATGAGTTCATTCACCAGTTCCTTAATTTTATATTTCATTCTCAATGACTTTCAGTAAATTGGACCTTTTTTAATTTGGATTAAATCGAATTTTAAAATCACAAATTAAATACCTTCATATTTATCTTATTTCACTTCTTTACAATTTATTAATTTATACAAAATCATACATACAAATACTAATACAAATGTAGCAGAAAATACAATATCGTTCACTGTATAGTATACAGTATATTTTCAAAAGACAATCTCGAAATATGGTAAAAATTGAAAAATATAGTAGCAAAACTAACATTATCACCTAAATATAAGGTTTATAAAACCATTACTTAGTAGGAATGTTGTGTACTATCAATAAAATATAAGTATTACTTTTATTTTATTTATTTATTACCTAAAACTGTGTTAAACTTCATATTCAGAGAGCAATCAGCACGTAATTCACACAATAATATAAAAAGTAACCACCAGGATTGGACGGCACAGTCAGAAACAAAAGCTCAATACAATATTATGTAACTACCAGTAAAAATATGTTTTCGATTAGATAAATTATACCTATATAAAGAAAAGTCTAGGGTCATAACTTGATTCAGTATAGGTATATTGTATTTTATGTTAAAACAAGCAAAAAATATCATCATCATCATCATCAACCGCCTTTAACAGTCCACTGTTAGACATAAGCCTCTCCTTAGAAAGGGAGGTTTTGGCCTACTATATCACGCTGGCCAGACGATTTGGTATAGGGTTTGTGTCAAGTTTTCCTTCTCTCTGTTGTCTCAGTGATGTTGTTCTGCGTAGATTTTTCCCTTAATATATATTACTCAATCTAAATAAAAATCTCTAAATAATAATCCTGGTAATTAATGCAAAATCTGATTACCTATTTGAAAAAATGTAATACAATACATTTTCGTCTATAAAATAGTTTACAAACTGTCCCTTCTCTTCTTCTGCTTACCGGAACCACAGCTACTCAGAAATGTCAAGCTTTAATCATACTATGGTCCGTTAAGTACACTATAAGCAATACCATAATAATTTTATAATCAATATTATTGATATAAACTACAGAACAAAAAAAAATAGTAGGCAATTAATTCGTTATTGAACTCAACACATATTTTAGATGATTTTAAGAAGTTATGTTGCTGACTGTACCATCACTTGGTGATACCTCGGTATGAACGTGATAAGATCCACCAGAAATATCCACCACAAACCAGATCATATCTTTCTTGCCTATTTCACTCTACAGTTAACTCACACTCGAGGTTACATGGTCCAACACTTCTACTTATCACAAAACTAAACTCTCATTGTACATGTATATGATGTATACTGTTTAAGTTACTATCTGTAATCAATCCAAAATGTCAATACACACAAAATAAAGGTGTCCGAAAGCAAACTAAAATGTAAAAGGAGTAAATAAAATAGTCTTCATATTAAGTGTACAGAATAATAGGGTACAATGCAGTTGGTCTACAAAAAGGTAGAACTAAGAATACGGCTTATTAAATCAATAACCTATATTACTAGCGCAAAGTAACTTAAAGCGTTGTAACAGATATATAATAACGTTGTTACCCTTGATATTGAGTTAACGTTTTAAATCCATACACACCAAGTTTGTTATATGTTTACACGGGCGCTTGTGGCTTTGTTTGCCACCGTAATGGTAAATTATATTTTTTAAACAATGCCGATCACATGAAGTCTATATCATTAACTATACTTTAGTTACAATTGGTCCTTTACATTTATAATATTGTTACAAGAGCTTTTTTCAATAAACATCTATTATCGATGGGTACATTCAATATCCACTTACTTCTAATCAATAGGTACATAAATTCATTCAATCTGAAAGTTTTTCTGAAGAGTCTACGTAAATGCAAGAACATAGTTTTTGTAGGAACCTTAAAATTGTCCCCGAGAACGTGTGATACATTTCTGGCTTACCCTTCCACTTGACGCAGAGGTAGTATACAGGAATTCCGGACAGGAGAATAGCAATACCAATAGCCGTATCTCTTGGGTTGGTGATCGCAGGAATAATGACTAAACAGCCAATGGCAAGAAGGAACACGTAGGGTATGAGAATGTGCACCTTGATAGGACGAGGGATGTCGGGTTTGGCTCGCCGCAGCCACAGCATGCCTACCACTGAAGCTCCCACAGACAGCCACAACGTCTGGGAGAAGTAGTTGATGAGTTCAAACACGTTGCTCGTAGTTAACATTAAGAGGGAAAATAAACACTGAAAGATAAAAAAAAACATTTAAATACAATACATTTGAAAATATTTTCTCTATGTTTCAAACTAATTTTAGGTCCAAATTAAAATAGTTATTTAGGCAAGCTTTTTATGTTTATATTTATCTTTGAGATTGAGATTTTTTAGGGTATGAGGGGGCAAACGAGCAGACGAGTCACCTGTGAGCCAAGTGTTAGTTTATTTCACATCAACTCGCTCTCGACAGCGATCGCGTTCAGCGCTGTGATTGATGAATCGCAACCGGTCACCGTCACCGTTACGATCGAGTATAAGTGAAATAAACTTACAGTAGGCCTCTGATTTATTTTTCTTTTTTTCTAAAGACAACTCCCGCACTAGGAATATATCTTGTGTAGTGGGCGACTTTACAAACTTACATGAAACGGGCACAAAGAACACCCAGATTCAGAACAACAATTTGTGGATCACACAAAGTGTCGTCCCATGTAGGGATCGAAGCCACAACACTCAGCGTAGTAGGAAGCGGCGTGGCGCTTAAACCACTACGCCATCAGTCAGCCAATGATTGTAAGTAACTTGTACGTGAAAGCCTGCAACTCAGGAGTCACAAAGGCATTGCTTTGAGTCTTTTTGGGCTCCAATATAGGGCTATAAGGCCGTGGTATCACTATGGTAGAGCCGGCCCACTTGTCCCGAAGCATTGCTCTCCTACGGCCAAGTATCCAAACATCTGTTACCTACGCGGGTAGGATCACTTACTAATTAAAAATTATTACAGGTTTCATCATTTATATATTGTCTATGACGTTATGGTTTGAGTTACCTACCGGTTTAAATAAAGTTTCCTGGTCTTTTTTTTTTCAATTTTAACATTTGTAATATGTAAAATTCAATGCCTAAATCTTGCTCTTAATTATATACTTTTTTTACAGATGGTGTCAAGATTTTGTTTTAGGTATTCGAATAACTTACAGTGAATATAAGTGACGGTATTGGTGTCTGCTTTTGTATGTGGAATAGCGAGAAGAATTGAGGCATGTGCCCTTCCTGAGCTCCTGTAGCGAAGAGACGAGCGGATGTGAAGAGTACCCCGTTGACGCCGCCAAACGTAGACAGTGCCACAAAAACTGGGATTAACCAGCTCCATGAACCGAAAATACGGTCACCGAGAATCTGAAATAATAGAGCATGATAATAATAAAATGTTTTCTTGTAACACTACAGGAGCCGGAGGAAACCAAATACCTTCAGTTTCAGATAAGAATTATGCCTTATAGTAGTGCATATTATTTAAAAAAAACAATAAATGCATTTAAAACTCGCTACAAAAATCATTTCACGTATCTCGAACAGAAATGATCTTAATACGAGTGCATAGATCACTTCATACTAACTACTAAAATTACATATTCATAGTTTAATAAATTTTTATCAGTTAATTTAAATAGACACCCAAAGGCAAAAATATCTTTAGTCAAAGTTAAGGTTTACGTATACGACCAACACCAACCCAACCACCACCAAATAAACAGTTACTGTCATAAGTGTTTATGAAACTACAATTCTTTTCTTTATGGTATAAGGGGCAAACGAGCAAACGGGTTACATGATAGTAAGCGACCACCGCCGCCCATAGACACTAACTCAAGAGACAAAAAGGCGTTGCCGCTCTGGAAGTGCTCTTTGAGGTTGTGAATTCTTTAAGTGAAATGTTACAGAAGTGTAACACTTGATATGCAGTAATGGATTTCGTATCCAAGCCGGAGGGACAGTTCCTGCTCTAAAGTAACGTCTTGAAACGCCACCTAACGGCATGTGACATTCCGTGTGAAGACTAGCGAGAGCTACGTTGTTGACCGAGCGAACATGGGTGTCGAGCGGTTTGTCCATGGCCTGGTGTGAGTTAGCACTGAAATCTTCACCAATTGCAACGAACAACGCGCTCGCCGTCGAGAGAAAGTTTATGTGAAATATACTTATACTAGGCCCTCAGGCTGCTGAACAATACGAGGCAATCCGCCTTCCGAACATTTACATTTACAACACTAAACTCGAGATTTTGAAAACAAGACTATAGCTATAATATAAAACTTCGCCTATAACTCAGCTGATCAACTCGCATTTTTATAAAATTTTGAAGAAAATGAATTCGCCAGTCATAATATCCGCGCCCACAAAACGAATCCATAGCAAAGTTCGTCATCGACTGACACGTCTCGGAGGACATCATCATTAGGTACTACGAACACTAGTGTAGCTAATGGACAAAGGTAATTTCGGATTACCTTCAAATAGGCCTTGTGTTTGATTACCAACTCAGATTGTATGTTCCTCTTTGAAATGATTTCGATCAGATACTATAGTATGATTTTATGATTTACTTGAACTCGACACATACATTTCATTAACATTACATTACATTAACTCGACTATGCATATTGCATTTTAAAATACTTGCGAAACGAAAAAGCAATGGCAAACAGGTTCGTTCTTGTAACACGCAGACACACTAGCAGCTACAAGTAATATCGAGACAGACAAGACGCTGATCTACATATAAACTCGACCTATTACTTTGTCACGGTCATCGTGAATTACTATGACATCTATACCAGGTTAGTTAATGCAGGCAAAAGACATTTAAAAAAAAGTAAGCTTATCGCTTTAAAAATATACAAATAGCATATTTAGTATTCGTTTTGTCGAAAATTATGAAGTAAAATATAAGCAACTTACCGCAGCAATGGCTGGATTAGTATTCAATTCCATCTTCGACACTACAGCAAAGTAGGCCAAGTTGGCCATCACGTAGATAATCGTCACCATCGGCATCGCTATCCATATGGCTCGGGGCAGATTCCTGAAATAGCGGAGATAATAATATGAAGCGCATAAAAAATTTATGGACCATTAAACATGGTGCATATTAATAAAGAATAAATAATATACGGTTTCTACATTTAGATATTTAGGAAACAAAATGTTTTTAAGCGTAACGGAAATGATGGACTGCACGGATGGCGTAGTGGTTTTAGCGGTCACCTAGCTGCTTTCTACTGAAGTGGGTGTTGTGGGTTCAATCCCCACATGGCACAACAATTAGTGCGATCCACGAATTGTTGTTCTGGGTCTGGGTGTTCTTCGTATAAGTTTTATGAATGTTTGTAGCGACAATGACGGAGTAGTCTTTTTTGAAAAAGAAAAAAACAGACAATCGATGAAATCCATTCAATCCATGAAACACAAACCCAATTCGACGTTGTAATAAAATCATTACCTATTTTTCAGTGGTATTTTGTCCCACCACGTTCAATTTGTTGAAAAAACAGTTAGTTACATTTAATACAATTAATTAAGCGTGACTTGTTCATCTAAGTTGTTCACTGACTCAATTGAATAAATTCGCTTACGTGGACAAAGAAACTATTTTGAAATTGTCGAATACTCTGCAGACTATTAGTTTTGAAACGATAATTTCGATAACACGTGTGGTCAGTATTTTGAAAGAGGCACAAAACAAACAATAGCATGTATAAAATGCATTTAAAATTAAATTATGCTTGTAGAAAGAGGAATGTCATTTAAAATAGTTCAATGATTGAAGTGAACTTCTTAAGCACCGTTGTGATTTGAAAATTCGATGAAACGATAAAACGACATTAAAAAGAGACATTTATAAATAGGATTTAGCCTGCGAGAGAATGAGATGGATTACAAGTACAGTGTTTTCTGTAATCTTCGTCTCCTTTATGCTATCACGTGTCTTAGCGTACAAGGAAGCCTTCAAAAAATGTGTCATAAACAATGTGGTGTTTCACGTGTTTTACTTCTTTGCATTTGCGTATTAAAATTCGTTGATTATTAATTTATGTTTATTATTTTACACATCTGTGTTAGTTTGACCAATAATTTTTATTTATATAAATTATCTCAAATTAAATTTATTAACATTAGTAAATTATTTGCATTAATTTTACACACAATAAGATTTGTGTGTATATTGTGTATTTTTTTGAAATAAAATATTTATAGAATATTTTGACAGTGTGAATATAATATTATTTTTATAAAATATTTTTTTCTGAAGTTACACTTCTGCCGTGTGTAAATTGTACTCACATTTTTTTGAATATTATATTCGAAGATGCTACTAGTAAAGTGTCCGCAATTACAGAACATCATATTAACAGCTACAAGCAAACAGTAAAACATTAAAAGTTATATTATAATCAACTGAACAAATACTTTTAGTTAGTCTAGTGGTTAGTGACCTGACTGACTGCTAAGCCGGAGGTCGTGGGTTCGATTCCCACCCAGTACAAATATTGGTGTGATGAGCACGGTCATTTGTTCTATGTCTGGGTGTAATTTATCTATAATATGTATGTATTTAGAAATATATAAGTATCTTTAACAGTAGTCTGGTTACCATAGTACGGGCTCTGCCTAGTTTGGGATCAGACGGCCGTGTGTGAGATGTGTGAGATTATTATTATTACTACTTTATTAATCTCTCATGTTCGACTATTCTATTAAAAAATTAAACAATTGAATAAATTACACTTAATTAGTTCAATTTGTTTAATTCTTTGGACAAACAGTTGAAGGTGTATTAAATGTGTTGGCACCACAAATAAAAACAAAGGCCATGTCTCGGGAAAATAAAGTTCAGAAGAAACTTAGTTAAAAAAACTAGTTTTGTAGAATCTACATATCTATGTAGTTCCAATACTTTAGATACTTTTACCCATTAAAACCAGCGTAATAAATATGTTTATCACATAAATAAAAGTCACCTACGAGTATCTCACTTGCATTGAATTACTCTTATTTTTTATTTTTTTAAATACCGCATTTAATCATAAGACCAAAAAGGATCAGGTTAAATGGAGGTGCATACCGAGATATCGAACGACATATCATGGGATAGAGTTACGAGGTATCACACAACAGATACCGAGGTCAACACCTGTCAGTGTTGGTAATAAGTATTTTAATATATATATTTTTAGTATGCGCGTATGTTTAATGTGAGTGTTACCAGCTCTACTCGGCAATCAATTAAAGATACCTAAAATGCATGGATCGTTACCGTTTGAACCCTCCCTCCCTACCTCTACTAATAGAACATTTAGGGAAAAACAATCACATTTGTTCTATTCATAGAACTATAGTACAAATAGAACAAGGGGAAAAATGAAATACCGTATGTTATACCGGTTATGCGGTTGTTCTATCAACAGAACAACAAGAAAACTAATTCCCGGTTGTTAAATTCCTCAAAATAGTTATATTAAAATGCAATTACGAAAATGAATAGATATAATTGGTAAATTACATTTTATAAATCCTAATTTACGTTATTTGTGCTAATATCAATAGGCCTGAAACCAATGTATTTCCAGATAACGACGCAATAATGACACACAAGTCGAAGTCAGCTTACACCATTATATTAGCAAAAACAAGCAGTAGAACCAACAGTTGGTTGACTTGTAGATAATGCTATGTGGCGTTAAGTCCGCCTTGTGCAAATTGTAATACAGCAAGTTTAAAAAAATTATAAATAAAACATGCTTTAACTACCCATTTCCTAGTTGTTCTATTGATAGAACAACCTGTAATTGAAGTACTACCTGTTTTAAAAATAGAACAAATGTGATAAGTTATTGTAATTGTTCTATTAGAACAAACAGTAAAACGAAAGTAACGACCCAAAATGCATGTAGTATTGAATAGCTTAATAATAAATAACCATATTTTATATGAATACTTTGTTTTTCTTATTTTATAAATTAAAAAAATCTTTTTCTTATGTAATAGAAACGGAACTCCAAAAATCCCAGATAATCTAATACGCTACTTCTGACCCAAGAGAATTTACTCAGTTAAGACCTTCTTAAAATACTCTATCCACCGTCCTATTTTTTCAAATACGTTTAAATATAATTATCTACTACTAGATATAGTACTACTTACTACTCAAGGGGTCGGAAGTGATAAACCTCTGGCCTATGCTTCCATTCATAAACAATTAAAATTAATTATTCTTCAACAATTATATCTCTGTTTAATAATAATGATAAATTAAACAAATGATAACAACACCAAAAAATAATTCAGATACTCCACTATCAAATGCCAAAACATCAGTGTTTTTGGGTTTATTAATTAACCTATACAGACAAAAAAAAATGTATATACGTTTTATCTATTCTAATATTATAAAGCTGAAGAGTTTGTTTGTTTTATTTGATCGCGCTAATCTCAGGAACTACTGGTCCGATTTGAAAAATTCTTTCAGTGTTAGATAGCCCATTTATCGAGGAAGGCTATAGGCTATATATCATCACGCTAAGACCAATAGGAGCGGAGCAGCAATGAAGAATGTTTCAAAAACGGAGAAAATTCATTACTATTGAGAGACGCAGACGAAGTTGCGCGGGTCAGCTAGTTATATATATTATGTTTACGTTTATATAATATATTATGTTGTTGTCTTACGCTACCGTTTACGCGGAGTTAAGATTACCTTATACGACAGAACTGAATGTTTTCTTCACACGGCATTCCGTTTTTTCTTTTCTGCTAATAACCAAATGGTATGTCATCGTGTAAATATGTAATTCGATCTTTTGCAAGAAAGCGCTCAGTCTTTCACTACCATTTAAAAGCGACGGACGTGAACACTCTTGCTACCATCGAAACTATTAACACCACCCGACTTGCCGTACCAGGTTGGTGGCATTCGATCAAACTCGAATATGTGATCGTGTAAACGCATGTATTAAAATGCTATTGTCACTGAACAGTATTCGGTATTTTGCCATGTGACCGAATCTGATTGCAGTCGCAAAATCGGATGGTAAGTTTATCTCGTCTCGGATATTTGCCGGATCGTTAGGTTACAAGGTAATGGGCACCTCTGGTGGCAGATTAATTGCTGCTAAATTTAAGACGCAATCGAGCCGCCACGCCAATAAAAACAAGAAATGAAAAGGTTACGCGGGAAAGGGTAATTTCCTTTTTGGGTACACCTGAGGTACGAGCGAAAGTTCTGATGATGGAGCACTGTCACGAATACGCCTTACCCTTCAGCCCCTAGGTGACGACACGAGGGGGTCTCCGCTCAAAAAAGGAGACAGTGTAAATCGGAATTGGTCTAATTCCTTCAGTTCCTGTAATCAGCTGCTTAATTTTTGATTCCTTTGATTACTTCTTATGTTAGTAGTTGTAGTTGAGACTTCCAAAATGAACCATGTTTTGATTTAGTCTGTGACAGACGCATACAATCGATGCACGGGTGATGTAAGGATGCTGTTATTTTTATTCTGACGTATGGTCCGCGTGCTGACGGATTAAGAATACAGAGTGTCATCACCCCTATTCATCCCGTGGGAGTCGTAAGCACTGCAGAGAGAAGGAAAACTTGACACAAACCATCTAGCCAGCCAACTATACCAACCCGTCTAGCCAGCGTGATATAGTAGGCCAAAACCTCCTTTCTAAGGAGAGGCTCATGTCCAGCAGTGGACTGTTAAAGGCTGTTGATGTGTATGGAACCCTAAAACAATTGGACTTAACAGTCAACTACGGTATTATTTATTTTGTGAAAAGACCTAGCAAACTTAACTAATTCAATATAAAACACTGCAATACACATCCACTTTCAACCAGAAAAAAGTACTGTTCCGGAGCTGTAATAAAATTAACATAGTCTACAATCTACATTATCACGAGCGAACCCACGGACAAAAGCTAATTTATTCTCGCATCTAAATTGTTACAACCGCACCTCTCAACAGGAACAATACAATACAAATGAATAATACATGTAATACGCAAAGTGCCACCAACACAGTACCCAATACTACTTTCTTAGCTACTTCTTTCCATTCTAAAAATAGAATTTATCTTATTTTCAGTCATGCGCAAATTTCCAGGCTATCAGAACGACAAACACTAGTTGTGTTTGAAAAACACTCGAACGGACCACTTCTAAACGTTTCTAGAGTAAATCTAACTGTGCAATTTTACCCTATTACAATACCAAACTATCGATCTTGACCCAGATTCTTTTATTCCCTCCATGTGATGACGCAATCTCGATGTAGCATGCGCTTGTTAAGAACATAACCAAAAGTAGTTACCCAGCAACTATATCTGTCAATATCGCACGATTGAAGTCTATGGCAACGTCGTCAAAATAATATAATAATAAAATTTGTGAGAGGTTTCGCGAACGTGTTTATTACTAATCATGCTTCTTATAGAAAGTTATCCGTTTTCCGATAGATGTCTATCCTGTTTAGGATTTTTTTTAATCGCATTTTCCTTAACAGCTAGGTACTAGGAAACTTCGCCTTACATTTAACACTTCCCAGTTCTATTTATTAGGTCACAGTAAATGTCAAAGAGCTAATGGCATGTCTTCAGAAGTTGTACATAAATACATACTCGTATTACAGTCAAATTTGTTTCGTTAAGAATTATTGTCCCTTAATTGTTCCGCATCGTGTAATATAATATCCTAACATGTCAGCCAACGAAACACGTTGATAAATGATGATCAAAATTGATGACCTAAGCCGCATCATTTTCGGTTTTTCTGGTATTGTTTTAATTTTATACTGTCTATAATATAGTAGTAAAGTTCAGTAGTAAATATAATACAGTAGTGTTATAACTTTTTGAATTTCACTTACTAAACTTTAGAAATGCTAAATGCACTCAGTGCGTTTTTGGGACTAATCGAACCATCAATCACACTGCCATGAGTCTTATACATCAAAGCCAACGGCAATGACCCACAACACACTAGATTACCTCCACTATTGCTCAAGCGTTGCTTACACTACAAAAACTATCAAATAGGCTGCGATACATACCCGGTCAGGGTCTTGAATTCAATCACTATTTTACACTAATTTATAACCTAGGAGGTATTAGACATCAACCTTTGCTAGGTAGCCTTTTGCACTTCTAACGATCTTCATTTATAGAATGATTTATGATGAATGGCCATCTAGCAAAGGATAATTTTATAAACTGAAATAATATATGTAGATATTTACTTGTACGGATCCTGTAGTTCTTCAGTGACAAAATTGAGATAGTTCCAACCTCCAAATGCGAAGAGTCCAGAATAAAATGCAAGAGCGATGTTCCCTGCATCGTATTGGCCCTCAAAGGGCTTCTGGAAGTTTTCTGTATGGCCTGTAATGAATAAAAACTATTTTTTATATCCTACTTTAAGTGTCTCTTATTAAATATAAATTAATAGCCAGGCTGCCAGGTTAAATACACGGTACAACTAAAATTGTCTTTTCAGGAAGAAAGGAAGTAGGTATATAGATGGTTCAATAAAAGTATGCAATATTTTTGAAGGGAAAAAAACGAAAAGAATGAAAATCACAAGCAGCAAGTATTTTGTCTTGTCCCGTACCCATGAAATATATTTATACTTTAAGATAAACCTAACTACATGTGTTTTTTTACGCATTTTGACCTACTTATTTGACAGACTGACACCAAATTAGATAAGCACCTTATCAAGTTTTTAATAAATGATGCATTATATTAATATCACTGAAATCAAAATAGCAATGTTTTATTAGGAACAGCTTATGATAGTGGATTATATTATATATTATCGGGCATTATGGAGAAGGGAAATCACAACTTGATAATATTTACGTATTATCTTTTCCATTACGATTTATCAAATCGACAAAAATATTTCATATATATACATATACCACTTAAACTATGTAAGTACTTACTGTATTATATTTTTAAAGAAATATAGTTGCATATCTCGTAATATTGGGAATATTTGTTTCCCAAAAGTAAATAAATTGATGAATATTTTCATAAAATGATGATAAATATTCTACATATTAAAGTGAAAAAAAAAATCATATTCATTAAAGATAGGTTAGTACAGTTTTACTTACACGTGTATTTGGGGATACCCGAAATTGATATTGATATTTTCTTATATTTCATTATTGATACAGATTTGTAATAGTTCAATTAATAACATACAGGCATTGGCAGCTATAATTTCAATGACTGTGTCTATATTAATAGCAATTCAACCACAAAGTTTTTGACTTGACTACAAATTTAATTTTTAGTATTAAAATTGGTACAATTTCTCCAATCATAGGTATTAAACCTTGGTGTTAAAATAATAGCCTGTATAGTCTCATCACAGAAATAGTCAGTTCGATTAAATATTCTTAATTTTCTAGATGACAGCGTTACCAATCTTATTTAAACTTTAACTTTTTAATAATGTCGAAAAAACAAACAAAATCTCGTACAACCAAGTAATAGAAGCTTAAATTTGTGATTAACAGTAGTTCTGTATGAAGTTACGACATTTTAAAAAGTCAGGAGCCTACGTATTGCTGTAAGTACTATAAAAAATCTGGGGCCAAAAAAGTAATGCGGTAGATATCTTAGGAACAAAGAAGTATCTGATATATTTACACTGTTATTTATGCGTTTTAAAAGAGTACTTTGTACGTTAAAATGATGTCTAGTACATAAGAATACGAAATAAAGAATTAACTTCTTATAACTTGGCATAATATACAATATTTCCCATTAACTTTCCTAAGAAAGCTCATTTGGAAATCAGTTTCATTTTTCAAACATGTTTAATAATTTATTAAAACCAAAAAATACCCGTTTAACTTTCCTATAGGAAATTATATTATAGGAAAGTTAAACGTACTTAAGATTAGGAATTTTTTTAAAACGTTGTCGTAAAGTACTTGAGAAATACTAATATCAGTTTCTAATGTTATAATCCTTTTGTCATTACAATCTACAGCCTCACAATACATAATTTGGACTTCTCCCTTCATCCTTTCCCCTTTATCAACTTCACTTTTGCAACTCCTACTGTTTTTCCCGAACAGAAAAAAATACTAAAACATTAACAAATTAACAAAGTTGGCAAGAGGCTCGTAAGATAGTAAGTTCTTCTGGATTTCCACACAAAGAAAAAAGGTTCGAAAACGATATTAGATATGTTGACTACACTTCTTTCCCATTAAATCTATCTGAATAATTCTTCTGATTTCTTCACCGACGGCAACAGGAGCTGGTGTACAAATATTATTTTAAATATATCGTCTTGGCCATCTATGCTGTTGTAGTTGTTCTATTGTTTTTGAAAAATAAAATTAGTCAGTCATGTCATTATTACAGTACATTATTATTCATTTTGTTTTATTACAGCTGGCTGATATAATTTTAGATTCATGCAAATGCAAAAACCTCCCTGTATTATACCACCCTGTATTGGACTGTACCTGGACTGCCAGTGAAAATTTCATACACTTGCACAGTACCCTGGAGTAGCAACAGCTTTTAAGCAAAGTTTTCCACCATCTTAAAGACTTAAGTTTCTGATAGAGTGGTGGAAGCTGGTGTATTAGAATCGTGTGTAAGAATTTACATAAAGCTGGTAGCTCGATGTTCGCTCTATCATTTTTTGTCCTTTTTTTGTTCGCTGTTTACTTAAAAAGTATTTCCCTTTTACGACTTTCAGCTTTAACTTACTTAAGCCTACGTCGAACCTAAGTTACCTAAATGTTTATACTTGTTAATGTTATAAATAATGCAGTACGAAACAGATCACCAGTCTTCTACATCGATGTCGGTGTTGATGTAGCAGTAATTTATGCCGCATACGTAATGTCAGTATAAACGAACGTTTCTGATACATAAATCATAATAATGGAAGAATGTATGGTAGCGTCTTTTGATAGCACTGTTGGCTATAAATTTGCTGATGTCTTTAACGATTGTGACTTGTCAACAGCGATAACGTTAAGTTTAAAAGCAATGGTTTCTTTATTCAGTTACAATATTGGTTTTTCTTGGTAGCATACTCGTATTACTGTATCGTGTTGTAAACTATTTTACAAGATAAACAAACAAGATTTTTTAACTGGTTTTAACCTTCAAGTATATACTACTGCTATGAATCATTTATACCAAGAGTACATTCATTATCGTTCCATCGAGCCAACGGAATAGGTAGGTAGTTAAAATGTTTTAAACAATTACTTTTATATGAACCGGAAACAAGAGGACAAATTACAAAATCTGAAGATAATTTGTAAGAGTAGAGGAATGATATTTAGACAATTTATTTTTAAAAAGAAGAAACGACTTTAATGAGCTTAGTTAATCATAAATGGTATTTTTTCAAATTTTAGGATTGTTTGCCTTTACAGAACCGGTTGTAAAGACTGGTTTGTAATTTACCTAACTTGCAATAGCCTGATACGAGTATGATCTCAGATATAAGGTCTCCACTGAGTAGCCAGGAAAAAGCCCTGAATCTTGTAGCTTGTCTCTTGGCTAAAGAGAGTAATCAATTTCCTACAGTTTTATGAGTTTGACCTTGGATTGGTGACCTTTAGAGGTCAAAATTAGTGTACTGAAGGTCATATTCGGTTGTAATTTTTTCAGTTCCAGGCCCTGTATATATTCATGTAATTTTAATAAACGCCAATTCTCATAACACTGAAGGTCCTGAACCAATTAACTCTGATTTTTTGTACTTCTTTTTTTTTCTAAAATCCCTGATTCCCCGACGTAGCTCCATTGGGTAGATGACCCTCTCCTGCGTGGGAGCCCCCATGTGCCCTTTGTGCTCCTTAATGGTCGCCGCCACCGCGGCTTGCTTCTGGTAGGGCCCCAGGCCTGCGCTTACGAAGGACGCAGGTCGGTCTCCGGTGGCTTTGATTTTTCGCACTACAATTACATTGTAACTTAAGGGTTTTTGAAACAAACCTCAAAACTGTCAAAAGAAAGTCAAACTCAGACTCTTTATTTCATAAAAAAAAAATTGTTTGAAGTCGTTTTTTATGTAGACTAAGTTAAGTTGATCTATGATCAACACACACAATAGCAACAATCACTGTTTTGTCAAATAGTAAGCAAATAAATTTAATAAAAATTAAACTTATACAAAATCTATGATATGCCTGTGCCGATCTATAACCGCCCGTTACCAAGGGGTTGAGCCTCGTGAGAAGAAAGGGCAATCAACTCATGGCCACTCTTTTGCAATTTACAGATAGATAAAATGGCATTATTTTGTAGACCACAACATTGTTTTGATGTGTGGCAGTATGTCCGTTATTAAGAATGAAGAAGAAAAAGACAATGAAAAGAAAACAAGATGAAGAAAAAAAAACGAATAAAAGAGAAAATGAAGAGAAACCCAAAAAATAAAAAAAAAATTATAATAAAAAGGACACACTAGCCCACACACACCACACACCACATTTTTACTTAAGAAATAACCTGCTCTAATTAATTCAAAGCATTTTTGTCATCTATGTAATTCATAATTGAGTTATAGGCTTTCTGACATAATCCACGTTTTATTGCGGATTTAAGTTTATTAATACTTAAGTCTGGTATATTATTTGGGATTTTATTATAAAATCGGACACATTGACCTCGAAAAGACTTGTTTATCTTTTAGAGCCTAGAGGCGAGTACTACAAGTTTATTTATATTTCTGGTATTTATAGAATTTACATCACTTCTTTTCAAAAAGCTATCTTTGTTTTTATGAACATATATTACATTTTCCTATATATATTGACTTGAACAACGATTGCCTAAATTATAAAGTGCTCGAAACGCTTGCCTTTGCAGTTCAAAAATAGTTTGAATGTCGGCAGCATTCCCCCACTATGACATTATGCTATGAAAATAACTGAAGTAAACAAGTCGTGCTGTATCAACATCAGTCAACTCTCGAATTTTTCTTACTGGGTATGCTGCTGAGCTGTGTCTACTCGATCATTTATCTATATGTGGGTCCCACTGCAGCTTAAAATCTAGTGTTATACCTAAAAATGTCGTAGTGTCCACAAGGTCCAACCCGACATCCTTAATCATCACAGTAGTTTTCACTGGCTTGACGTTCGGCACAGTGAAACGTATACACATAGTTTTTTGATCATTTAAAAGCAAATTGTTGACGTCAAACCAATGAACCACTAACGAAATGGCGCTGTTTAAGTCTGTGAAATTAGTAAGTGTCCGTTTTAGTCAAAATAATAGTGATTTATCATCTGCAAACAACACAATCTAGAGATTATCCTTGACAAGGTGAGGTAAGTAAAAACAAAAACGGGCCGAGAATAGAACCTTGTGGAACGCCCATTTCTATCACAGAGCCTGGAGACCGCTCTCCTAATGGAGAGCGGTCGGAATGGTAATGGAGAGGATGACTAAAACGGACACTTACTAACCTCTTACTGCAATCTAACCTCTCTGTGACCATGGATTAATATCCATGATCACAGAGAGGTTAGATTGCAGGTACATTGGTCACTGCAGCGCCGTCTCTCATGGAGTGCATAAATAAAAATATTAATACTGTAAATTGTCACTACTAACATAGGATAAGTTTTATGTATTACTAACAAGCAATGAGTCATGGTTACTCCAATAAAATGATTATTATTATTATATTATTATTATTAATATCAACTTTCTGAATCCTATTATATAGATATGAAGCAAGAAGTTCCACTAAAACCGAATTGCTTATTGTGTAATAAATTAGTATTATTAAAAAAAACTTTGCAATTGATCATACATAATTTTTTCAAATTTTTTGCTAAATAGTGGTAGTACTGAGATAGGTCTCAAGTTAGTTGGGTCAGATGTACTACCAGATTTTAATAAGGGAATAATTTTACTAGACTTCATAAGATCAGGAAATCTAATTGGAAGCGCACACCCTGAGTCATAAGTAATATTAATTCCTATTAAGTTACAACTTCGCGTTTTCTAGTTCAACAAGTTGTTTTTTTTTAAGAAGATCTTTATGATCACACACACCCAAACACCTGTCCAGATCTTCGTGAACGACCCGGGTATAAAAAATAATAAAAATCAATTTCCCCTTTCCCTTTGTCTTTACCAACGTAGGAATACATAGACATCAATGCTGTTCTGTATTAACGGAATACTTTGCAAAAGCAATTAAGTTTCTCCGACTATGTGTATATTCCCATCGAGGAATAAATAAACATCTAACAGATTAATTCAAAAGATGATTCTCAAGTTTCTTGGTACATTAAATATCCCATGACGCTCTTCTACGTGACATACTTGCTATACAATGAACTCATTATCCATAATCTTCATACAACTGTCGCTATATTCATTGACCTAAAATGGATAACTTTATTAGGCTGATATCTAAAATCGTTACATGAATAAATAGCTATCGCATTATCTATTTATATATTATAAATAAACCACAAAAACAGCAATTAGCAACTTTATTTTTTTTTGCCTTGTTTAGTAGTTATTGACAAGTTTTAGTGCTAGGTATCAATAATAAAAATTTAATTGCATATTTCTCCATTTCGATTATGTAAAAACGGCGAAAAAATAAATACGTTCAGTATATATTTTATACTTCAAATTACACTGGACAACGAAATGTAGATACTTAGAAGCCAAAGACAAAGATTCTACATCATCATCCCAACCATTCATCCACAGCCTTTAATAGTCCACTGCTGGACATAAGCCTCTCCTGAGAAAGGAGGTTTTGGCCTACTATACCACGCTGGCCAGACGGGTTGGTATAGGGTTTGTGTCAAGACGGAGGCCCTGTTATTTCATGGGCCCCGTCGTGGTCCACCCCCTGGCGCCTCAATCGTGGTCAACTCGGTCCTCGTACCGGTTCGGGCCCAGATGAAATATCTGGGCCTGATCCTCGACGGGAGGTGGCTCTTCGACGAGCACTTCCGACAGCTTGCTCCAAAGCTGGTCGGCGCTGCGTCTGCCCTAGGGCGACTTTTGCCCAATATGGGTGGACCCAGCGTCGCGACAAGACGGCTGTACACGGGGGTTGTCCGGTCAATGGCACTGTACGTTGCACCGGTGTGGGCGGCGGCTCTGACCGCCCAGAATAGGGTACGCCTCTGGCGCCCTCAGAGGGTAATGGCGGTCAGAGCCATACGCGGTTACCGCACCGTTTCGACGGAGGTGGCATGCGCGTTGGCCGGAACTCCCCCGTGGGATTTGGAGGCGGAAGTGCTCGCCGAAGTTTATCGGCGAGTGGCTGACTCCCGGGCGGAGAGCGGATTTCGCCCTCCGCCCGAGGATGTGCGCGAGTGGCGCGAAGCCGCTCGCCGAGCCACGATGGCTCGTTGGTCGTTCCGGCTGGAGACTCCACGCGCTGGCTTCGCCGCCGTGGAGGCTCTCCAGCCGGTCATCGCCGAGTGGGCAGGGCGGCAGCACGGGACCCTTTCCTTCCGGCTAACGCAGGTGCTTTCCGGGCACGGTTGCATCGGAAAGTACCTGCACACGGTCGCTAGGAGGGAACTGAGTCCCGCCTGCCACCACTGCGACTGCAGTGAGGACTCGGCCCAGCACACGCTGGCGGTCTGCCCCGCATGGGCGGCGCAGCGCCGGGCCCTCACTGCAGTCATCGGAGTGGATCTCTCGCTACCGGCCGTAGTACGCTCCATGGCCGGTAGCGACAGTTGTTTTACCGCGGTCGCAACCTTCTGCGAGGTAGTAATCTCGCGGAAGGAGGCGGCGGAGAGGGCCCGGGAGGACGACCTCCACTCGGACCCGATCCGCCGCCGGCGAACCGGGCGGCGGAGGCCCGCCTATCACAGCCTCATGCCGCCCTGAGTGTGGCCGCGGGTGGACGGGGTGGGTTTCCCCTCCACCCGCATTAGTTTGGCCAGCCGCGAGGGGGCGGCGTCCGCGTGTGCCGGACGTCGCCTAAAGAGAGGAAAATATATTGAGACGGAGCCCGCACCAGGAGCGGGCTGGCGCTAGGAGGGGTCCGGATGTCTTAACAACAGCTGTTCCCGGATCCCTCCTGTTACAGGCGCAGAGTGGCACACCGTGTGGTTTTAGTCGGTCCGAGTCCGACACACCACCCCGCCGCAAACTCCGGAGGGGTGACGGTCCGAGGGGATTTCCACACGTTAAAAAAAAAAAAAAAAAAAAGGGTTTGTGTCAAGTTTTCCTTCTCTCTGCAGTGCTGTTGTCCTGCGTAGTTTTTTGCCTTAGTCGGCTCTTACGACACCCACGGGATGAATAGGGAAATTATGAACGAATGTCGACCAACAGGCTATCTCTAGTCGTGAATATTTATAAATTATCCTTAATATTCAAAATCATAAGGTTACTTTTCTTTGCCAATTGCTAATACATATGGTATATTTTTAAAAACTAGTAACCATTATATGGCAAAAGCCAAAGGGGATTGGTCAAGTAACTATCGCTACAAAGATCTTTGTGTCAAGAAAAAAACACTGTTATATGGCATTAATTATAAATTCATTTAGGAAAACTAAACATATATTTCATAATTCGGTAAATTTTGTGGGAAATCGTTGGTGCAATTCGGAGGTTCAATCGTCATACAAAATATTTTTGATTATAAATACTTCGCTAATACATCGTGTGATAAACTTGTAGCATAATTACCAAAAACCTATGTTTGGCGGTCTATTTATCAAAAATAAATCAACTACGATGAACCAAATATTTTCAAAAATCGGTGTAGGTGAGATCCAATTAGCCAGAGTATTATACATCATATACCACTATACGATTATCACATCAGATACCAAAAGTGGTCATTCCCTGCCCGTGAAGGGCCGAACTTTGTTAGCCCACAGCTACACCAATTTATATTTCAACTTGTAAATATCATAACCTATAGAGCACATACTAACAAACCAGGTACTTTCACGATATGCTACGAGACTTACCCATAAAAATATAGCAGAGCCCAGAGATGATAATAATCACCAGTGCCAATAACTTTGAGGAAGTGAAAACATCCTGTATCCTCATAGTCCACCTTACGCTGATACAGTTGACCGCTGTCAGCACACCTGCAAACATAGTAAACGTTAAAATCTAGCTAATATGTTGAAGTGTATAAAAAACTCAGAGGTGTACTAATGACCTAGTCGTAAAAATCCCTAACTGCTCATCTTGGGTAGTTCTGGCCCAATTTAAAGAGAGTGGAACCAGTCATCTCATTACTTCTATACCACTTAACAATGGCTTAATAACCAGATTAAATAGACTTAAATATTATTCAATCATCATAGTCATAAACACAGACACATTACACAAGCATAAGGCTCCAATGGTAAGGTTAATTGAGAGCTCTGAAACTTAATGTAGAGTGTACTCCTCATGGTAATTTAGTTTACGTGCATATTATTAGTTTCTGTTTATGCGGTTAAAACTCTTATTGTTGGTATTGTGGTATGGTGGTAATAAAAAAAAGTAAGAGTTCGCAATAACCATGTTTTGAGTGCAAGTCAAGTCTCGCTAATAAAAATTCGATCAGGTATTTCAGTTCAAGCGCCTCTATAACCAGAGGAATTACAATTTTTCACACTAAAAGTTTACATTAAAAAAAAAGACTTGTAATCTACATTTTTAATAATATTGTTATAACATGAAAACACTCTTAACTTGTACCAGTGGTCACTATGGTTCAACATCATAATTACGCATTTAGTAGCGAGCTCGCTTTCTTAGACAACCGTCATTTAATGAGTGTTTTCCAACTTAAAACTACCGGATTGTGGTAAACATAACTTATTTTTTCTTATATTGTTCTCATGTAAGTGACTAAAAAAACTATTAACAATTATTTTAAAGAAATAAAAATACTTGACAACGTATTGTTGTAAATTATCAAAATTATTGATTGGATAGCAGCAATTAATCTACTTCCATCTTCATATCTTGACGATAATTGATTAAATCAATGATCGATAGACAATTGTGTCGAATTGTGTAAACAAAAAATATTAAGACGCATTCGCAGACATTTGCCATGGAAGGAAGTAAAGGAAGGCCATCTGTGATTGTAAAACCCAACCTTAAAAGTGAAGACCTTGAAGTGTTTATGGCTCGTATAGAAAACAATTTGTTTTGTGTCTTTAACAAATTAGTCTGGATTATATGTATTATCTTTAACAATACTATTGAGACATTATAATCTACACTAACTTGTTTAATTTACTTTAATTTTGTTTTGATTCTAAAAACTTTTAATGCTATCTCGATTTTTAGGACTGATCTTAAAAATGACTCTCCTATTGGTCAAGTCCTTTATCATCCTGACGGCTGAAGCTAAGGTTTCTGATTCGATTCTCACCCAGCTGCCCAGGACACATAATTGCGTAAAAAGCATGATAGTTTGTTCTATGTCTGAGTGTAAATTATCTATAATATGTAAGTATACATTTACATAAAATAATGAGTATATTCATCAGCAGTCTAATAATCATAGAACAGTTTGGAATTAGACTGCGGTGTGTGAGATGTACTCGTATTAAGTTTAAAATTCAGTTCCAATCTACTATCGATCTCACAAATGTCATTAAAGGTATTTTCGTAGCGACGTATTAATAAAACTAGCAGCATACTGATTCAACTTTCGTTCACAATACTGGTCATCAGCTTTGAAATGACGTTGAGTTTGCTTAAATATCTTTTTTTTGACTTAGATATCGCATTTTGCAGATTTCATTATTCAGAATTTTGTTTCATTCGATCTATACCGTGATCATATATGTAAACCTTGAAACAACCCAAGCTTTCATATCCACCGAACCCTGCCCACCGCGAGTTTGAACGAGTAAACCTTCAACTGAACTACAAGCCTCATCCTCCTCCTTTTTTCTGTGGGATATCGGATACCACCTACCGGTGGCTATTTTGGACTCGAACCGACTAAAAACCGCACGCCGTCTCGGGTACCAGCGAAAGTGTACTCCAGTTTCTGGGAAACAAACTTTGTAAAATTTAAAATTACCAGTGAGCTACCAGCTCACTACGACTTTACATGCTATAAGGATATCTTCTAGATTTAAACACAATAACACAGTTTTATAGTAATCCGAATTGTTTACTACGCCATTTAGATGAAATAATGATAGTAATCAATATTTGAATTTAATAAAACATAAATAATATAATTATGTAATCAATATTCGACTTTAATGAAACATAAATGACAAAGAGTACCTTAATTTAGGATAACGTTTAATAATATATCCGATCTGTGGTATTGATAATATATCGGTGAGCCTATCTAAGAATTATTTAAGAATTTTTAATATTATACAGGTGTTAGACTGGAACTGAGTTAAGAATTTTAATTTATCAACAGACAAGAAAAGATATATACATATGTACTTATATAATACGATCAGGCTATCATTTAGAGTACTGTCACCCAAACTGGTCAATTTTGACCAGCCTATATCTTGAAACTAGGTGTCAACCCCTTGAGTTTACGACAACTTACAAGACTATACTATGAAAACAAGGAACCGTAAGTCCGATTGTCATTGACTGTCATTGTAATTGATATTAATCGCAAATTGAAAATACAGTCCAAACAGAGCCATAAAATATTGGTAACAAAGTCCGACAGCCGGTGAATTCACATGGCATGCATAACTTATTTCGTAAAAGTATCTAACAACACAACCAACTAAGACGTTAAGAGCTGTAAACAATGTTTGTCTTCAAATGGAATCCGCAATCGTCAGCATTGTCTAATTGTCAAACAATACGGATTGTGAACAAAATGTATTCTGTATTGAGTCAGTACTTAACTGTTCAACATACTTCCGGTCGGGTCGATTCGTAATTAACGATAATAAGGTTCGACTTTCAATAATCCTATAGCGGCCAACGTTACATAAGGTTTCTCATCACTATCGTGTTCCTTAAACAGATTTTCTACATGACAGAACTGTTTTAAATGCAGTTGTAAAGTGATAAATGCATATAAGCATATATATATATATGTATATGCATGCATAAGTTAGTAAGATTAATTTAACAATTTTTTTATGGAAGCAGTAAGCAAACAAGCAGACGAGTCACCTGATAGTGACTACTGCCGCCCATGAACGCTTGCAACTCAGGAGTCACAAGCGCGTAACCGGCCTTTTAATAAGGAGTACGCTCTTTTTTATAAGGTTTGAAGGTCGTATCGGCCCGAAAATACTGCAGACGATCACAGATTAGCGTGCGAGGCACAAAATATCTTGAAAAGTGCACAGTTGTGGAGTGCAAATATCCAAGTGATGGGGCTAAAAAATTTGCCGTGTGGCAAATTATATTTTAGAGGCAGCGTTTACGATAGCGGAAAGTTGCGGCCGGTATTAGTCCGAACAATTCCTCTGAGCACTCTTCATCTTTACATAGTATAAAATGAAGTCGCTTTTTTTCTTGAACGCTTAGATCTTTAAACATGAGCAACAAATTTTAATGCGGTTTTCACCAATTTCGGTTCGGTTTAAAGATCGAAAAAATCAGTTTTATTTATAATCCGGTGCAGTTAGTTTTAAGTAAGAAAACACTCAATAAATGACGTTTGATATCCAACCATAATGACCGTTGGTACAAGTTAAGAGCGTTTTTACGTTATAACAATATTATTTAAATATAATTATTAAATATAAAATAATGTGTTTTTTTTAAATGTTAAGCGAGCTTGCTTCTTTGAGATCCGATGGAAGTGTTATATACTCGTAGTTGTGCTCCCTTAACAGTTACTGTATTTTTAACATAATTTGTTCTTACACGGGGTAATACTACATGGTTGGCACAGCGAGTTACATATTTTAGTGTTTCCCTTTTCTTGAAAACGTAATGTGTCATAGGATAATTTGGTGAATTATTTTATATATTGGTATACATGTATTGTATGTGTATAGTTGTTCAATGTTCATAAGTTTTGTGTTTTGTAACCGCCTTCAAAAAGTAGGAGGTTATCAATTCAAATGTTTATATTTATTTTCGGGCATAACTTCGTCATATATACACGGTTTTTCAAAATTCTTTTTTTGTTCGAAAGATGGTTTTTCCGAAATGGTCCCATTTAAATTTCAAATAGATCTCACGAAAAGTTTCGGAGACAGACAACGGAACTCTTAAAAAAATGACGGTGAATCAACCACGATTGCTGCAAGGTGTTTAGTGTTCTTTGTTAGTAAGGCAATTAGTTAGGTTAGGATCCAAGTTGTCTCGCCAGTGTAGGCAGCGGCTCTTACCGCCCAAAATAGCGCACGCCTTTGGCGTCCTCAGAGGGTATTGGCGGTTAGTGGCATACGCGGTTACTACAGCGTGTCGACGGAGGCAGCATGCATTGGCCGGAACTCCCCCGTGGGATTTGGAGGCGGAAGTTCTCGCCGAAGTATGGCTCGACCGAATGGTATGACCACGATGGCTCGTTGGTTGTCCCGGCTGGGGGCTCCACATGCTGGTTTTGCCGCCGAGGCGCTCCAGCCGATCATCATCCAATGGGCATTCCGACAGCACGGGACTCTTTCCTTCCGATATTTGCCAGGCTCCGGCGTCGTAGTGTCGGGCCCTTACTGCAGTCATCGGGGGGGATCTCTCACTACCGGCCATCATACGCTCCATGGGCGGTAGTGATTGTTGTTTTACCGCGGTCGCATGCGAGATGACGTCTTCGCAGAAGGAGAGGGCCCGGGAAGATGACCTCCACTCGGACCCAATTCCGCGTCCGCGTGTGCCGGACGACACCTAAATAGAGAATGTACCCGAAGCCCGCGCAAGCCCGAATTCCTCCTATTTCAGGCGGAGAGTGGCACACCGTTTGGTTTTAGTCGGTCCGATTCCGGTACACCACCTCGCCGCAAACCCTGGTGGGTGACGGCCCGAGGGGTTACTACACGTGAAAACAAAAAGGATCCAAGTTGTCTATAATTTTGGAGTCTTCATCAACATAGCATAGAGGAAAATCAGGAAATACATTACAATGTGTGTTGAACTTTTATTTGGGTAATGTCTAAAAGTATTATTATTGTGAAATTTTGAAGGGCTTCTGATTACTAAATTCACCATGCACTCATACGAAAGTAGCTAGCTATGTCCTACTTTCTCATCCTCAAGCAGTAACCCAATTATATAAAAGAAATTATTCTGTTAAAGCTAGTTTTTAAAACAGCCAATACAATTACATAAGTACTTTGTTTACTGTACCTGTGTTTGAACTTTAATAACCTTTCATGTAACATAGTATATATAATTTTATCTTAACGGCGTCGACCTAGTTTCATTTGAGGTTAATTTTCCATCGACTCTATCTTAAGTAATTGAGTTAAGTGAAGTTTCCGGCCCCACATTGAACGCTTCCGAAGCCTGAACAGAGGTGAAGTAATTAAGAGCTTTTGTATTGACTTTTCATTACATTAGTACAGCATCCTGTCTGCATTCCCAATGGATTATTCCCGAGGAGTTTTTTTATAAAGTATTGAACAATAAAGAATCATGATTTCTAAAAGAAATTGTGGACACGTCTTGTGGATTTAAAATAAGTTTTCGTTTTATTTCCCTTTTTTTCAATAAGCACAGTATCTATAAAATGTATTTGAATTAGGTATCTGTCTATTATTGAAAATCACTAAAGGTTATCAATGTTATTTTGTCAAAAAAATTGCAAAAATCGTTAAAATATGCGTTTTTAGCGAAAAGTGTAAAAGATACAAAAAAAGTGTAATGAGAAAAAGATGCAATAAAAAGACGAATTGAAGCAATTTATAACTCGCGTTCTATTAAATATTAAGACTTGAAATGTGTCCGGAAAAATGGCATCATTTTGCTGATATAGAAAGACTCCTAAAATTGATTAAAAAAAAATGATTTTGCGCTCCGGCCGAAGACCAGGCGACCAGTTTCTACGTTCCGTTGTACGTCATGATGTTGTTTTGATATGATTAAAACGTTGACATACGCGTGTTTTTCATAAAACTAAACCTCTGATTGTTGTTTATCAAATATTGTTTTGATAAACAATACCCAGGAGTTTCTTTAAGAAGACCGACTCGCAATAAAGTTGTCGCTTTGCTCCAACGAAATCTACAGAGAACTCTATTTCTGTAAACGTAGACGTACTAAACGCGTTTAGTACGTCTTAAATGTATTAAAGTTATGTCATGCAAGTGGCCCTTAAACGTGTTAGCGACAAATTTATCGTTGTTCAAGATGGTAATTGTGTTTAACCATTTTAAACGGGTTTATGACGTCTTAAATATTTTTAATTTATATCACGCAAGTGGCCCTAATTGTGTTTAACCATTTTAAACGCGTTTAGTGCGTCTTAAATGTGTTTAAGTTACAGTTGTATTTTAGTTGGCTTTGAAGTCTGATTGTAGACGATTTCTTAGCAGAAAAACGCTCAAAAGGAAAATAAAGTTTTTGTAGGTAGAATAATCATTAAAGTAGAATTGAATAGTACCAACAACTATTAATCAAGTATTTTGTCGCCTTTTTGGCCGTCGTAATCGAGAAGCGATAGGGGGTGAATCATGGCATACGGTGGCAGGTAGTGGCTGACGACAACACTACAATTATTTGTTAGAAGAAGCTCGTAACTTTAGTTTACTAGTAGATAATAATTCCTAACTAATATTAATAAACTACCACTAACTAGTAATAAACTACCACTTTAAGTAGTTCACATAACCATTGCTTAGGTTTTCCAAGTCGGTATGCAAGTGTCACTTTGAAAAGATCAAGATCAATTAGAATAACCAGTTGCTTCAATACATAAAATCATCGTTAAATTACAAACAAGACCATTAACATTTTGTTTTCTGGTATATTACCAGTTTAAATGTACCTAAGCTTATTTATGTGTTTTTGCGTGTGCAATAAACGAATAATTTAATCGAACTTAGATAAACAACGATCTATTCTAGATCTTCTAAATATAACTCTTTATTCCTTGCTGTTATTACTTTATTTTATATTAAAACTTCACATGATTTACTCCACTTATAATCATAAACTGTGATTGTGATTATAAGTAAAAATCCTAGTAGGTATATAATCTTTCTATTGCTGCAATTTAGGCCTGATTCATAAAAGTATATCATTATATTTACTACGCGTACTATGCCCTGTCTCATATAAAAAGTAATAAATTATCAATAAAAAGAAAAATTACTGTCGTGTTTATTTAGATACCACTTTGACCTGTTGTAATAAGTCTCTACGCAACAGGTTGAATGAATTGCTTGTATCGTTCTACTAGTACAAGTCTCTTTACTTCACTTTTAAGAAATGAAATTAAATGATATTCAAATGATTGAAATGAGTGTAGTTTGAATTCAGTAGTTTGGCCCTCACTCCAGCCAATGCTCCGCGACCGCATATATTTTTATTTAGGTATAACCAAAACAAAAGGATTCATACTTAACAATAGGGAAATAGGAACACCGAGTCCTATTAAACAATAATCACTTTTTGAAAAATATATTTTATGTAAGCGTTCAACAAGTTCTAAATTAATTACAAATATATGGATCGGGTCCGCTTGAAATTTCCATTCATTCAAGTAACATTCAATTTTATGTTAAGATCTAATAAATCGTGTCACAATGAAACATCTTGTATTTTTGCGTAAATATTTACTAACGTATTGTAAATGCTGCAGTGTGCACGTGCAATCTGTAGAAAATAACTGGTTTGATGCCCCATTAATGTTTAGAAAGTAAAAAGTAGGTTAGTGAAATTTGATAGATTTACTTAATGTCATATCGTTGAAAACACCAAACTGCTCACTTTCTCAAAGGAAATTAACTTAACAAAAAGTGTTAAAAGCCGAACTTCTTTTTCTTTTTAGTCTCCCTTTTTGGTCCTAATACACTCTACTTGTTTTTGATTCCGAATTTCAACATAAAGCGATTTTATGAAAGGCTAGTCTGATCACCATGAGCCTCAAAGTGCTAGAAGGTACCATCGTGTTAACAATAATGTCAATCAATACTACTTACATAAACAAACAGCAGCAAGAAGTTTAACGGCATCTTCTGGTGGTTCACAATCAGCGAAGAATGGCTTCACTACGTAGTGTCCGAAGGTTAAAGCGACGATGGCCTGTGTTGTAGGCCTAATAATTAATAATGCGATCCACATCCGGAGAAAAGCAGGTAAAGGTCCGAAGGCTGTATAAATGTAGGCGTAGTCACCGCCAGACCTCATGATAGAGGTTCCTAATTCCGCATAGCAGAGTGCTCCAAGTGTTGATAGTAGACCTGACAGCAGCCATATTATCAGAGAAGCAGCAACGGACCTACGACAAAGGAGGCAACATTATAAAAAAAATGGAAAATAATAAAAGTAAGTTCACAAATCAAATAGATATCTCACGCCATCTCCGATCTCCTTTTTCTTAAAGTACTGTAGATAAACAGTGCCCGGTACCTACATAAGAATAAGTTGAAAATCAGGCTTGTATTGCCTACCCATCACATTGTAAAATCTATATAAGTACATATTATAAAGATGTTAAGTTGGTTTATGTACGCTTCAAAAAATTAAAAAGTCATGCACCGATTGAGATCAAATATTGACACCATATACAACAGGCTTCAAAGATGGTTTTTATCTACATTTTGCAACCACAATGTGCCACAGCGAGTCGCGGCATAGTGGGCACAGCTAGTAATTTATATTTATAATAATTGTCTCTTAGTGACATCAACTAATTACGGGCTTTCGCATACATAAGTGTGCTAGAATCTGTTTGCCTCATGAAAAAATACTGCTGCAAAATGCATCAGAATCAGTTTAAATTAGACAGGCTTATATTTCTTTGGTTATCCCCGGAGAGACATATCTTTGTTTGGGAACACAAGGGATTTTAAAACCAAGAAATATGTGGGTGTTTTTATTTTGGTTAGAAAATGTTTTTCTAAACACCGGGTGTGTTTAGAAAAACATCACAGATGCTACTCCTTATTTTCGATACATCGATCTAACATTGGTGTTAAACTACAACTTCAAGCATAGTAATATACTAAAGGTCTAAATCTTCAATACCTATATTATGTTGGATCGATGCTCCGAAAAATACAGGCTTGCATCACACACTACACCAACACGTCAGCATAATGATATAAGAGTGTAATAACTATTTACCTAATTGTTTTATGCGCCTCACCTTAAAGTCGTCTTAGTTCCTTCTTCTAAGTACTATTTGACAGTGAAAGTCATGTAGAAGTCGATCCGTCTGTTTCAGAGATAGCAGGAACAATCGGCAGAAAATCACATTTAAAAGTGATTAATTTTGGTTCACGTGTCGCGTACGGTCTAATTTAGATATTAAAACGTGACATTACAAACAGACATTCCGTTTTTTTATTTAGATTGTGGAGGAGCGGGTGTCATGTCCCTCCATCACAGTAGTATGTTTCTTTGTTTCATCATATACATGGAAGTCACAACAAGATTAATAACTGCCACCGCTTATGTGACATTTTCCTCAACATTTGTGAAGAACATGGATAAATATGTATGTATATAATTAGATTAATTCATGAGGCGAATCTCATATTATTGTGGTTAGACCCATAGTTTGATCATTAGTCATAGTGTCTACTGTACAGTAGTCAGTTATTTTTAAACGGTTTTTAAGAAGGAGGAGGTTTTTATTTATGAACTAGCTGGTGCCCGCGATGTCGTTTGCGTGGAATTTGAAAAGCGCTGTCTTAGTAGGTTCGACCCGGACCTGCCAAAATGTTATAGGGATTTCTAATAGAAAATATAGCCTTGGTTACTCCTCATATAGACAGCGACCTGGTAGTAAAATATTATCAAAATCGGTCAAGCCGTTTTGAAGATTACCCGGAACAGAGAGATAGACAATAAATATTAAAACTGGTTTTTAGGCGTAGGTACCGTGCAAATAATCGTGTGAGCATGAAAAAAACCTATTATTTTGAGATTACAAACAGACACTTCAATTTTACTTATTTGTATAGATGTATATATGTTCACCGATTAAGTATCGTTCACCATCTATGAAACAATTTTAAAACTTATTATTATTGTATGAAAGGGTATGCTCCAACGGTGGTCAAGTAGTCACCAAGCTTGGGTCTGTAAACGGTGATTTGCTCACCGGCGCGGGCGGCACCGCGGCAAATCTTCAGAAATTTAGTTTACATGCAATGCGTTTATTGATTTTTCTTACAATAAGGCAAAATAAATACACTCAGGTATGTAAATATATCCAGGAAGGGGTAGGCAGCAATATTTCAATCCCGTTTACGTAATAATAGGGCATTTTACGTATTAGATGGGCAATTTGTCAATCAAATACGGTTGCGATTAAAGTCAAAAGTCAACGACATCAAAAAGGGTGGCTTTAAGACATCTTTTAACGTATTGTAATACTTCGAAAAATCAACGCTACGAGTAGGTACTTCCCTTTGTCCTAGCATCATGAATATGAATTAGTAGCAAGATCTCAAAATATAAAAAAAAAGAAACGGAAAGTTACTACATTAAAATGTTTTGCAATTATAAACTTCATTCAGCGCTTGGAAAATTGACTGTGACGTACATTGCAATATGGAAGCGTATTTTAAATTATGATAAAAAAAGTTTTATTAAAAGAACGTATTTTAAATTAAGTTTGTTGAATGAAAACTATTTAATTATTCTTCGAGAATCAATTCACGAGTTGGATGATCTACTTAAAAGTTTGTACAAAACCAAATCAAAAGGTAGTCCTTCCATAGTATAACCTTATTGTACTGAAAGTGTTACATATATTATCTTTTTTATTAAATTTTTAACCAATTATTCTTCACTGCTTAGTAGCATATATTAGTGTTGTTGAAGTTGATTTAACTTTTTTCAAAGTATCCATTATGTTTACAATTTTATATAATATAACTTATAATACAATAGAGAGTGACCTTACAAGAAAATAGTTCACTTCAAGATATTACAGATAATTATTGAAACATTTTTGCCATTATCACAAAGGTCCAATAAGAAAATAATTTTGTGTAGGTATATGTATATACCCATGTTGTTTTTGTTATTCCATCGTAGGTTAATAGTAATACGTAATCATTTTTTACTACACTTACAAAAAACAGAACTTCTTAGATAGGTATATTTATATATATAAATCAATCAACTATTTGTAACTTGTACAAGTAATCAATGCAATTTATTGCAGTTCTTATGTATACAACCTACTTACGTATCTACTGAATACAGGTTTCAGGGCCATGGTCTACTAGTTCTTAGGTTATGAATGGGAAATACATTCGTGTCAATGGCTATTTGAAAACATACCGTGGGAAAATCCTTTACGTGACTTGTTGTATTGAAGTACCTTTCCAATTGGAATTGTTATTCAATTAGCAGAACATGTAAGTTTCATCTGAATGACATGCAAAACCTGTAAATAGATTTTGTCTTCGTATCCCTAAGGTATTTAGTATTGGTAAATATACTTATTTAGAGTACTTAGATATGCGCGTATGCGATATGATGCTTCTGTTAGCTGTTAGAACTTGTTTGTAGAAATGTATAATTTTTTTCTACCTTGGGAATCGAACCTCAAACATTTTTTGCATCTATTTTCCGAATGGTCAAAAATTTTCTACCGTACATCTATATACACCAGGTCAATTTTTAAACTGCAAAATATGTAACAGCATATTTTTTTTTTGTTACATAAGAAATTAACGACTTTCAAATTCATTCCCTTACTTGTACTGTAACACTACTAATTGTCAAAGTCTATAATAATAGATCGTCATTGGGAAGTACCGTCTCTATTGGTTTTATTAATTTAAATATTATAATATAAAACTTTAATGACCTAAACACTAAATCCCATAAGGGTTACTTTTGTCCACCACACATTCTGAGGGTAACACTAAATCACCGTTTCATGGCACGGATTTTTTTCTTGTCTCTCAATAACACATTACAACTTGCAATAGACACCGAAAGCGCCTAAATTCTTCTTTTAACTAAAATAAAACTATTAAATAACGCAAAACAGAGACGTGTGTCTAAATTTAATTTCTTTGGACCGGATGGCTTTATTTCCTTTTTTGTAAAAGAGACTCATCCAGTGTCGTCAGCTATTAAAAATTTGTTCAACCGGTCAACAATCATCAGCTCTTTTGACATCATTTACTGGTATCATAAAACTTGTTGCAATTCTTTCATCTTTCTTTCTTAGCTTTATGCATCGTTCCTAAATGTGTAGATCGGTTACATTTACCATTGATTTAGGATGTTGCAAAAACTTTTTAACATCAAAACTTATGACTATTTTACACGCTTTATATTAGCTTCACTTGTATGTTTGTTTGTATGTTTGTAACCGACTCCTTTGGGCGTGATTTTGACTGACTTTAAACGGTCAGAATTCGTTCAAACTTTGTAGATATATCGATGATCGATGACAATACACTAATTTACTAATTAATAATTCACTTTTTACTATTGACAACAAGCACCCAACGCTTTTTATTGTACAACTAATATCTACTGGTTACTAAAATGGAGATATTGCGTCAGTTATTCAATCACGTCTCAACCGCTGAAAAGGTTACGCAGATAAACTGTAGGTAACAACATGGATGACTGTTGAATGCGAAGGTTAATAAACCTATAACATTATAGCAATCTCTACGTAAATACGAAAGAGTAAAAATAAAAACCTTTTTCTCCTTTGTTAGTCGATCCATTTTGTGGCTATTTACGAGTTTAAATTTCAGAAAAATTGGATTATACATATATATTTTTAGATAGGTAAAAACAATACAGAGTAGTGCCATATTGTCCTCATGTTGTGCTTGTTCACCTTGTTTAGACCCCAAAAAGTTTTATTTTTTATAAACGACTAAAGCTCGTGTAAAAAAATCTTTTTTTTTTTAACTAATCACTTCAATATTCTTTTCTACTCTCTTTGTCAACAGATATTTTTATTACTCAGCTATTGACGACCTTTACTGAACCGTTTCCAACTTTTTTATTGATAACACTATCAATGAGTAAATTGAAAACAGTTTTTTTACACATCTATACCTACTAATATTATACAGTTACGCGCCAATCTCAGGAACTACTACTAGTGTTGGATAGCCCATTTATCGACGAAGGCTATTTAACATCACGCTACGATCAATAGGAGCTGAGTATCAAAGTTTTTTTTTGAAAAACAGAGAATTTATTCCTCTTGAAAGACTACGAAGACGCGCTAATCAGATAATAAAATTCTTATTGAATAGCGCCCCCTAGCGGACCCGACAGACGTAAGACTGCCCGAGAGTAGTATTTTCTTTTTGGCCACATAGGTAATTGATTTCGACACATACCTACATTAAATTTAAAGTATTGTAAATGTTTTAAAAGCTTATAAATAACTACAAAAAAAAATAGAATTCCTAGATTCCAAAAATAGTAATTGGTCATAGAAATCGTAATAATGAGACACTAGAAGTCGCATAGACGCTTGACCTTGTCGCCGCAGTGATGTTTAGACGAACACCACTTACAGAAATTCACACCATTCGTGATTTTTCGTTGCGCGGAGCGTCGTATGTAAATTTATATTGTTAAAATGGTGAACTGCAGCATAATGGATTGTGAAACGCATCAGGGACGGGTAATACAACTAATATAGACATAACATTCATCGGTAAGTTTAATTTTTACTAATAAATCATTGTTTTTACTAATTTACATGTCGATGAATCCTTTAATAAGATATCTCAGAACCCAGACCAAATCAAACATTAATTGCTCATGCACACAAATGTTCGACTTGAGCGGGAATCGAACCCGCGACCTTTGGAAAAGCAGTTCGTTACACAAACCACTACGCCAACCGGTCGTCAAATTGTTTCATAACTGTACGCTGTAACCTGGATTAATAAAGTATTTTAACTGTTGATTTTAAATAATAATAATATTTGGGACTTCTGTCACACAACGCCATCTAGTTTCAAACTAAGCAGACCTTATACTATAAAAACTAGATTCACTGATAGAATACGTAATATACTTTTTTGTAAGTACGTACATTATATATATGGCAATCACCCAAACTCCATAACAAATATTATTAATATTATAATAGGTACTATATTTTAATTAAAAGTATCATTACTGTTAAAATACTTAAAAAAAATAGTATGTATATCTATGGTTTGATTGCTACTTGTAACCCATTTGATTTTTTTATTTTTTACCCTCAAACGGCGTAAATATCAGAAATTAGTAGGAAATTACATTTTTGAACCGTTTGGGGTCGAAACTTTAGGGTCATGGGGTCCAAGTGCTCATACTATATACAAACAGCTAGCTAAACTACTGATTGACACTTCTCGTGATCAGAAGGCTGGTCTTTTTCTAGCACAGAGAATTAGCATTGCCATTCAACGTGGCAATGCTGCCAGTCTTCTGGGAACGCTACCAGTAGGCGATGATGCGGAGGAATTTTTTGATGCTTGTATGTAGATAGTGTTAATGTTGTAATTATTCTAACTTAATTTTATTTAATTTTTAATTTATTTTTATTTTTGTACTAGATACTAGAATTTCCTCCCTTATTTTTCACTTTCTTGCACATTTTATTAGCTTTAAAAATTGTTGTTGTTATATTTAAGTGATCTTATTTGATTTTAATGTGTATAAAAAAAATATCGACACCTTCGAAAAATTTAGTCAATCCCTAGCATTGTTTACAGGGATTCTCATATATCGAAGTAGATTGTAGTGGTGCCACATAATACATTGGCGTAAAAGCTATGTAAAGTCTGGAGCTTAAGGTTCATAATAGTTTGTGCCCTATACATTTCACCGTTGTTTTGCAAGTGTGTGCGAGTCTTATATCTATTTGTTTGTATTTTGTATATCTGTTAAGATGTGGCGACATCGGTTTTGGAAGTAATCGGGCGCTAATTAATTTCTAGTGTTATTACGATTTCTATGTCCTTGGTATTAGTTGTGGGCCCATATTTCCACATTTAGACTCAAGGCTGGTCCTTTATGCGTCTAGGAGAGGTTGGCTAGATGAGCCAACCAAGCTCCTTCCAGAAGCGCAGAAGCCTCCTGAGACGTTCACAGGCTTCTACGAGCAATTTTGTACCAGATATGGTACTTTCCCGTTGTGTGGCCACTCCCTCGCATTCCAGAATTACGTGGACGGCCGTTTCTTCTGTTTTTAGGCATCCTCTGCAAAGAGGACTATCCGTCGCATTAATGTTAAATACTTAGTTGTCGGTTCAGGGCTAGGTGTTTAGCGTGCTAAGACTGATCAGTCTGCAAGTAAGTCTTGATGAGACTTCAGTCAGCACCAGTTTGGACTGTCTGCAGTCAGGTGAGTTTTTCCATATTCGGTTGTGCGTTTTACGAGTACGCTGTCTAGCCCAGGATTGAAGTTGTTTAAAAGGCAGTGGCAGAAGTGTGCTTGGGCCGGTGGCCAGGTTTGCCAAGTCATTCCTTGCCAGCTTATTTGCAGCGTTATTCCCGTGTGCATTACTTTGCCCTTTAATGCAGTGGAGGAGTGCAGTCGAAGACAATACCAGAGATCATTGTGTTGCCCTTCAGTGTCTTTAGGACGGCCATGCTATCTGACAGTATTCGGATGGTAGAGTCCTCAATACCCTTTGACATGGCCGTTGTGGTGGCGTAAGTATTTGCCACACATTCGCATTAGAATATGGAAATGTGTTGACCTAAAGCTAGTAATATATTCATGTTTAGGTCTAGTGAGAAAGCTCCGGCTCCAGTTCAGTCTTGGAACCGTCCGTGTTAATTCAGCCTTCGTTTATGTCTGATTGATGTCGGTCACCTTCTTGTGTCTGAAGGTATCTCTTTGTGAAGATATGGTGTTTTGGGATCCTGTCGCATGGGGTTCCTTTCAGTTGTTCGTATTCCACTAATTGATCACATAATTTGAAATGCGATCCCCCGCTGTTAGTGCCACAGACCCAGGTGTATAATGATCTCCATGGCTGCCTCCTGCTGTATGAACAAGTCCAGTGGTGGCAGACCAAGAGCCACCTCTCGTGCGGCAGTTGGCGTTGTGCGCATACAGCCCGAGAGCCATACTGCAGAGTATTTGAAAAAAATAGTAATTGATCACCAAAATTAAAACCTCGTTCATTTCTAACTCATTCCCGAACAAAGAAGGTCTTTGGAGGTGTTACGTAAAAATATATATTTAAGAATTGTTAAATAAAATACACACATACAATTCGGAATTCAAGAAATGTTTAAGTACCAATTCTGAATTAAAAATAAATTTTATATGTCACAAGCCCACACCTGAATTTAGAAATATAAATAAGTTAGGTGCTATGCTTTATTACAAGACCTCAAATTAACTCTTATATCCTGTGACAAAACTGTTTTTTTGATCATAAATACCTATGGCATTCTAAAATTCATCGGTAATGTTAACCCACGGTGATTACTCACCAGTTGCCGTAGTTTTTGTGCGCGTATGACTTGGTCTATAATTAAATTGGAAACGGTGTCAAACGAAAATATATATTTCTCGTAGTGATAATAATTGAACAATATCATTATTGATAATATTATAATTGTCTACATTCTCTGTGTACATTCATGCAGTGTACTTTAAACTAGCATTAGAGAATTCAAAAGTAAACCACTATGTATGTATATTTATTCACATTCCCCTTCTGTTTTTATCTTTTAGACGTGTCACATAAAGATAAACATAATATAGGCCAACAAAATGAGAAAAGCTTAAAAAATGTAGTCTGGATACTAATTCTAAAAAAATCTAAGTACTAAGTTTACTAACAAGTAACTAATAAATAAAGTCATACTTATAGGCATGTACCTAATTGATAAATATGTTAAAAATTCGAGAATTACAAATTATTAACTGCATGTCCCTATTTAAAAGTTACGTTATAGTTATATCCAAGGTGCAATTATGGGAAAAAATATCATTTTGTAGTTGGTAATAATATCTCTTAGTTTTTAATGTGGGTTTGAGTGTTTTATAAATTGAGTAATTTCTTCTTTATTGATCCTGAAAATCAGTCAAATCTTATAACCCAGGTACGTAGGTAACTACTGTACCACAATAAAAATTAAAAACGAGATTTGCCAAGTTTTGCAACCAATATTGTAATTTAGTAAAGTTACTTAGTTTTTTTTCTAAAAATCATCACTCAAATGTACGAAAGTTTTATTCTTTTTTGTCGTTTAATCTCACATTTTTGTACAAAATTATTTTTATGGCTTTAATTGCGATAAACAAAGCAGCATGCCAACAAGTGGCATAACATTTAATGGAAAGGCGGGAAACTTAAACCCATCTACTCACCCAGTGTATTTGTAAACTCCTGTCGGAGATATAAAAATTCCGGAACCAATTATAGTCCCAATAATTATGCCTACTCCATTAAACAATGTTATTTTACGTTTTAATACCACTTTGTCGTCACTGGCTTGAGATTCTTCACCCATTCCGTAAAAAAATCAATCGCTTACACCGATAACCGAAACACAAGTAGTTCGATCGTTTGTCAATCCCACACTAGTCACTGCCACGAGCATAGACTAACTAATACGATACCAGTAAATATCTCACAGGACTAAATTACTTTCTGTTACCATTTTTATAGTCCGCGAAACTGGAATAGACGGTAATGGTGACGTCAACCGCGGTATCGCAGAGCCGACCACTGTGTATAGTCGCCTCGACGCATGTGCGAGCGTGGGGCCGTGGGGACGAATGGAACTCGTGAATCACCAAGCGACTAAGCGCACCGGAACATTCGGTTTACCAAATGCACGCGTAAGACAAGGACAAGATATCATTTTGCACACAGTTAAGAGAGGGACAGAATGTTTATTAATAATAATTATAATGCCTAAATATTATATTATAATTATTAAGTTATAGAAAAATATAGGTAGTACGTCTAATAAAACATCAAGTTTGTCTACTTAACAATCATGGCTCTATTATATTCCGACGAAATTTTACAAAGAAATTGCATCATTGTAGTTACGAACAACATTTCCGACACACGCTTTTACACGAAAACAAATCGGACTCTATTTCAATTCGATTAATAATATAATTGCACTTATTTTTATCACAATTACGTATGTAATGAACGTATAGATACCTACAACTAAGTAGAAATTCAGCTTTTAGTTAAATAAAGTTTCAACTTTATTTAACTGTATGTATCAAACAATAAAACAAACTAAAACTCAAAATCACAGACAGAGCAATGTCTGTGATTTTGTGAAAGCTATTTTGGTTAAAAACTGAAATAAAAAAATTGTATCTTTCAGTCTGTCTGTTTCTCTGGTTTAACTACTTTTGTATATTTTTTTTGTTTAGGATTGAACCAATTTCACTGGAACTATTACTGGCAGATTCAAAACTTTCAGAGAATTAGGTCAAACATTTAAAGTTCTTACGTAAAAATAGACAAATCTGTATTTAACAATTTAGTTCTATTTTGTACGTTTTTCTGCAACACTATGGAGTCTATAGACGACAGGTAAAAACAAAATTGCCACCACCTTTTTCAAATCTGTTTGTGAATCATATTTCTTTTTTGTAGCAATTGACGAATTTTTATATTATCAAAAAAACGGAAGTTCCTTTTACTTTTTGGTACACGTTGTCTATATACAATGAAATATAAAAAAGATGTGAGCGTCGACGAGCGATCTAAAGTGTCGGCAAAAAGTCTTGTTACACATTTTTCGGTCTCGCTTCCATCCGCTCAGAGCGTGTAACGCGCTAGAAGGAAGTTCGTTCCAACAGTTCAAAAAAAAAGTGAACGTCGACGCCCATGAACACCTGCAACTCAAGAGTCGCAAGTGTGTTGCGTCTTTGAGTCTCTCCCCCGAATTAGGGAAGTCAAATCTCCCAGGTTTGACCCACTCCCTCCTCACTCGGGTTTTAAACCTGACTCACTCGCTTGAAAGCAAGGCCGTGGTACCACTAAGGTTGAGCCTTGTCTGGCGCAAGGCGCTATGTTTTTACAAGGCCGCACATTGTCTCGATTAGTACAAGCTAGCGGGACAATATTATTTCTTCACTTATTTCAATTGTTTATGTATATTCCAGGTATCTTAAGCTATTTTAAGAAAAAAAAAGTTGAAAAACGTTGGACTGTATGTGTATTAATCGAAATATGTAGCTGCAAGACGGAAGTGGTTTACTAATGTATCTCATTTGCTCACTATGATCGCCAATTGTTCTTTAATTTGCTACGTCTACCTACTCATTATGTGTGTAAAACACAATCATATTTGTTTACAAAGAACTTTCTAGGAAAAAAATAAAAATCACAATGATCTTTTAAAATAAATTAGTACAATAACAGTATCTATGAGGGTGCGTTTTTAAGTTCGCGGAATGAGAGGGTTGGAGGGGGGTGATTAGGCTCATTAGAATCATCACGTGTTCAGTGACTCATAATTAGTATAAATACCAGGTTTCATTGTTATTAGACAATTAGTCTTTGAGTTATCGTCAACCAAGCAACATAATCGGGTGTGAAAAGTGAAACATGGAAAAAAACGAATATCGTGCCGTTATAAGGTTCCTTACCAAGCAAGGAAAATCAATTGCGACCATAATGAATGAGATGTCCAGGAAAAACCATGGTGTACAAATGGCACAGTTTATTTAAACAAGGAAGGGAATCCCTTGAAGACGACCCGAGGCCTTATCCAAAAAGTCGAAAAAATTGTACTCGACGATGCTCGACTAAAGAAGAAACAACTCGCAGAAATGGTTGGAGTATCTGATACAACCATTTTTAGAATTCTGCACGATTATTTTGGCATGACAAAGGTCAGTGCAAGATGGGTGCCGAGAATGCTCACGCCGACGCAAAAACAACAGCGCGTAGAGAGTTCACGTGCATTTTTAGACCTTTGTAATGAAGACAAGGATGCTGTATTGAGTAGAGTTGTTACTGGAGACAAAACTTGGGTTCATCATTATGAACCTGAGTCGAAACAAGACTCCATGCAGTGGCATAAAAAGGGCACAGCACCTCCCAAGAAGTTTAAGGTGTCACAGTGGGAAACTCATGGCAACGGTCTTTTGGGACTCAGAAGGAATATTATTATATATATATATATATATTATTTTAATATAATATTAAATAACTTATTTACTAAGGCATTAATTATAAGCAACTACAACACACAATAAATTAAGAATAATAAGTACAGTAAAAAAATACTTAAACCTACTAATCACCATCAGATGAGTCATCATCACGCTCTCCCAGTCAGAAGATTATTAAAAGAGTAAATAATCCTCCTCATTTAATTCGTGATGATGACTTACTGATGGTGTTTCTGATGGCAATGAAGATGGGATAATCAAAGATCTGCATTTGTGGCAATACGTGACCGCTTCCTGGTTTGCCGTTCACGGAATCTACGATAGTATTAATTTCTGCCTCCTGGGCTTCTTCGGAGAGTTGTCCAATGGGAAGAAGAAAAGACTTTATAACTTTATGCACAATAACGGGCATGGAAAACCACGAATACAGATCAAGGTATAATTTTCTAGTATCAACTAGTATTCTTCGTTACTGGGATATTTCTTTGACTCCTCGTTCATAGTAGACACGGTGGCACCGTAAATATAACACTTTTGTGTTATATATATTATTATATAAATATAACACTAACTTGTGTCTGTTAAGGCATTGCACACTTTTCCATCAGTCAATGTCAAAAACAAATCGTGTTTAACTGAGATTTGAGATCCAGGAACGTTACATAATGTTGGAAGAAGCTGACTTACTTCATCTAAAATTTTAGAAGTTTATTCCTTAGTAAACTCTTTTGTCTCCTTGGCAAAAATAAACTTAATAGGACGGCAATATAAAGTAAAGGAAGTCTTGGATTTTGCCAGATCACAGTTTCGCCATCAAGCAGTCACAATGGGATAAATCAGTATACGAACAAAAATTCGTCTGTAGCGTTTGTGTTCTCAAATTTCTGCTTATACGTGCTATGCCCCGAACCCCCATCACAGCCCCATTTGCTTACCAACGTATAATATGAACAAGGTAACACAATTCTAGTGACTTCCGTCTGAGCTTTATCTGAGCTAATCGTTCAGCCGTTTTATCCAAAAGTTCGCCTGAAGTTAAGTTCAGCTCGAGATTCAGTCACATTCGTCAGAAGGACAACAAGAAGCTTTGGTAAGTCCAAAGCTTCTTGTTGGATACACTTGATATCCCGCTTTCATTGACCACTTTCTTGTTTGTTTATATGAGTGAGAAGTCTATTTCGAGTCCACAAAATAAGCTAAAGCTTCGTATGGTGTTAACTGCCGAGTTGGTCAGAACACATATTTTTTTCTGTAGTTTCACTGATCGAGGCGTTATGGATCTGTTTAGCATAACTTCGATGCCCTTCTTTTCGAGTAGCTAACTCAGCTGCTGTAATAACCTCACTTGCACTTCGCGATTCCAAAAGATCTTCTACTCTCCGTCTCTTCGCTTTCGTTGATGAGTATTCAAATGATTTTGTGGGTCGCCCTACGGAAAGAGCCGCTGATGATGTTGAAGTGCACGGCTGGTTTACACACATCTTTATTTCGATGCCGGATCCCTCTAACCAATCTTTATGTTTGATTGAAGAAACATTTCTTTGTTACACTTTAAAGAAGTCCACTTTTGATTGAATTTTGCTGAAAGGCTTCATATTTTCATTTTGAGTCGTTTTAGAGAATCGTCAGAAACATCAGACATGTTGCATTTTTCACTTATATAATAAAAAATGCCACTGTTCGTACAGTTTTGTCATGTTTTAGTCATTCTTCAAAAAACTCCATTTTCGTCATAGTCACGATTCGTTCTGAAAAAAAATAATACTTTCGTGTCTTTTCGGGGTCTATAATATGTATATATGTATCTGTAATCTAAATGTTGTAGGTATTACATTTAGAAAAATCTAGATGGATATGTGTGGAAAAAAAAGTTGCTACTCTTTAAAGTTTACAATTAATGTAAAATTTGCTGGATTTATCTATACAATTTACAACAAATTAATATTACACCAAGTATACATATTTTTTATAAAAAATATAAGTCAATAATAGAGTACATACCTTCAAAAGAGTATTCCATCACAAAAAAAATTGTTATCACAATTGTGCATAAAATGCAACTGATTTGCAAATGAAAATGACCTCTCTTATAAGGGTTACTTTGACCCCCTGATAAGATACCTTTATGAGGTGATAAACAAATTAATTCTTGGAATTCGTTACCTGGGGGGAGGGAGGAGGTTACACGTCGTAATCAGTAAGTTTAATTTATTTAAATTAAGTTACTACTCAATTTTAATAAATTATCATTAAATGCTTTATTAGTTACACAATAAAACAAAGTACAGCTCAATTACTTTAATTTATTTAATTTTCCATTGTCTACTCACCTTTCTTTTAAAAAAAGTATGTTTTATATGTGCGATAATATTTTTTATTTCTATTTGGCGAAACAATACTTTAAAATCAAGTAAGCAAACTATAGGTATGTTATATTTATATGTACGAAGAAATATTATATGAAAACAGTACAACGTTTCATTTTTTGTATCTGCAATCTGAAAAACATATAGTTTTACATACTTACCGATAATACAAATCGATAGTAAGTAAGTATTCATTGTAATCACGATTTTGAAGACATCGCGGGAGACATCCTGAAATAACATTGTATTTGCAGAAGCAATGCGCCCGCGCCGCGGCGCTGTTGTCGCGCGATTATCCGACGCCATTTTCACAGAATCTCCGAGCTTTCCCGCACCCAGGTACGTACCACCGTTTTTTCTTTGTGATAAAAACTGATTGGTAAAACAACACAAAAATGTGAACACATCACTTTGATCAATCGCTGCCATAGTTCTCGTTCAGGATATTTAATAGTTGATAAATTTCATTTTGCAGTACAAAAACAAGAACATTGACCCTCGAGTACACGTAATAGTTAACATGTTTTATGTTCATTGTTATAATTAATGCAATCAAGAACCTGAAAAGCAATGACTGATCAAAGTACACTTATGCAGTTAAAGCAAAACCATGTAAAACATTTAATTAAACTTGTCAGAAGGTATCGCGGATAAATAACATCTAAAAGTGAATCGAGGAATGTGACCGTCATGTTTCTGTTACATCAACGGGACTACCACAACATAATGCTAACTACATAAACTACAGCTCGTAATTAAACGGTAAACTGTTCGAAGACAATCTATTTGTGTCATCATGTCCTTATTTTTTTAATAGATCACTGAGCATCCCCCGCAGCGGCAGTGTTGCGAGACACGAGTTGTGTCGCAAGCGGTGGTGCCCTTGCACGTGCTGTCCACTCGTTACGTATCACACTAAAAGGTTACACGAATTTAAACAATATTTTTAAGTATATCTCAAGTAATACAAGATCCGATGACACTCATCTATACCAGTGGCGAGGAGAAAGAAGCCACCATGAATGAGACTACAGTAAAACAAGACCTCGGCAAATCTTCGAGGCCTGTCAGAAACAGGCGATACACACGGTTAGTAGATACAAAGAATGACATCCATGAGTCATAATTTTCAGCATTCAGTCATGATTTTCTTTGTCCGTCACTCACTAACTATTATCTCCAGAAGTCTAGAACCTTTATTCCCTCCGTTCAAAAAGCCAATGACAAGTAAAATGTTCATTCGTTAGGTATAGGTAAGGTACATGGATACTGTTGTCTTTTACAGAAGGAGTTTGGTTGCGGGCCAGCGTCCACAGAAAAGATTATTTACTCCAGAAATAAAGCGATATCTCAAAGATTGGTTAGTGCGGCGAAGAGATAACCCGTATCCTAACAGAGAAGAAAAGAAATATTTATCCCGCGAAACAGGCTTAACTTATATTCAAGTAAGTTTAATACAATTCACTAAACGAAACAACAACGAACAATGATGTGCAAACTCATATTATTTTGATGATTTTTTACACGTAGGTATCATATTTGTGCCTAAGAGCAACCTATTTGGCTGGATGCCAGAAATTGCTATTTGTGCATAAATAGGCACTATTTTTGTCACTGCTTTGTTAACTAATGTGCGAAGTTTAACGTTAAACATGAACGGACTGGCTGTTAAAATAATAAAAGAATGTACATACTTAATATTTTTTAAGAAAGTTTATATAATATTGATTCTAATATTAATAATAACAACTAGTAGTAAGTCATATAGATCATGAAGTCCATAGCCATAATTAACTAGTGTGGATAACAAAAAATTTTAGTGCAGTTTAAAACAAAAACATAGCCTCTTAAATGATTGTCATTTTTGTTATTATTTGTACACAAATATTCACGTAAAAATTCGCCTTAAAACCTCAAGTAAATACAAGTTATGGTCCAAGCAAAATTTAGCCTTAGTTTATACATAATAGTGCCTCATCGTCATCTGTAACAGCAACATGTAGACACCTATTATTATTTTTTACAAATATGTAGATATATATAATATGTATAAATATATACTCGTAAATATATAATACTAGCTGACCCGGCAAACGTTGTATTGCAAAACAAAAAAAAATTAGGGATGGGTCACCCTTACCATTTAGGGGTATGAAAAATAGATGTTGGCCGATTCTCAGACCTACCCGATGTGCACACAAAATTTCATGAGAACCGGTCAAGCCGCTTCGGAGGAGTACGGGAACGAACATTGTGACACGAGAATTTTATATATAAGAAGATGTAGCGTCAGTGCGCGCACACAGAGTTATCAATTCATACATTTGTTTTTGGTTGATATATTTTAACAACTTAAAAACTAAGTGATATAAGTACTGCTCTCATAGGTTATACGAGTAGAACAGTGTTTTCTTTGTTGATATATAGTGTTCACGAAACCCTAAATTAAGCACTACACTAGAGGCTATACGCTAGGCCTCGTTTATGTGTTATCAACAGTAGGGATCATTACTATTACCTTACTTAGAGCTCTTAAAAGAATGATAGTAACATGTAAGTTACGTTCTACCTTGAATTAAGACGCAGTTGTTCTGTTTGCAACTCTAGTGACTTTTTCCTATCATTCTCTGGTTTGCGTTCCCCTTACCACGATACGCAAGAAACACTTTTTCTGTATGTGAGACCAACAATATTCAAGCAGTTCGTAGCATCTCAAAGTTGTTACAATATAGTTAAAACGATTTACCCACATTTGCCTAATTTAAAATTTTCAGATTTGTAATTGGTTTGCTAACTGGCGGAGAAAGTTGAAAAACGTAAACGAAGATAGAAACCAACAAACTTGGGGTCATCTTATACGCACATACAACGATCGCGCACAAGGCAACGTTGAACAATTCAGCATCTGCTCCGACGACAGCATATGGAGCGAGTCGGATCCAATGAATACCGATATTTTAGAAAACGATGGTGACATGAGTGGCAGCCCAGAAACGATCACTGAATACAATCAAGATGATTCTGACACGTCATCATTGAACAAAGAAAAGTGCGTCAATTTCAATAATAATTCTTACAAAGTTGAGCCCAAAAGAATTGGATTGGAGCAAACGACTACAATTACAAGCCCGATGTTACTCAGTAAGTGGCTTGAAAGTGCGGCTAGATTTCAACCGAGCGAGTGCAACTATTCCTGGTGGGGAGACGAGAAACGTCGAAAGCCGGAGACAAAGGTCCAACATATAACAATAAATACGGTGTCACGTCATGATAGGGATGAAGTAGAAGCGGCGGTTGCTTTAACAGCCTTAGCTACAGCTACAAGACGTGTCATAATACCTTAGTGCATTTACTAACTAACGCGACAAGGATATTTAACTCAAAAAAGTTGATAGTTACTACATTTTCAATATTTTTTTTTGTTATAGTGGATCCTGATTTTTAAGATAAATATTTACTTTTCCGCTTTTTACATATTTCCTTGTATTTTAAAATTCTTTTTTTAAAAAGGGGCAGACAAAAAATTGCTAGGTACCACACAACATGGACAATCATTTATACCTACTTGAAAATAAATTGTAGTTATAAAAACTAATAATTTTTCAAAGAACATCCAGCGACTTCAATTTCAGGAGATTTGTTTTTAATTTAAACAAAAATGTTATTTCCGTGCACGCTAATAGCAAAGTGTGTAGGTACTCTATACATTTGCTTACCGAATGTTGCTAAAGCGTTAAGACGTGATGTTACATTACGGTATGGTAAAAATCTGAGATAATCACCGATGATCTGCATACTAAGAAATTATATGTGTACTATTAATATTATTACATGTAATAATGTTGCATTTAAATAATGAAAACCCTATTCACATCGCATAAGTAGTTAATTATGATAAGGTTGTAGTCATAGGTATCGAACAAAGAACCTCCTTTTTTGAAGTCGGTTAAAAAGACGCTTTAATATCAAATCGAACCGAAAAGTATAAAATATTGTGGGTGCTAAAAAGACGTGGTCATCAAATGCAACCAATATCAACATAAATATTTAAAAAAGACTTCGGTTTGCTATTTAAGCTTTTTATAGGTACCTATAATTTATGTCTTATTCTTAAGGCTTGTATTGTCGTTGGTGACTGATACATGCAGAATTAGTGACAACCAAGTTTGTTACGATGTCACCCCAGATTTTAATTACTCTGGTCACACAGACCACATAAATATGTGTGTGTTTTTAATGTTATTGCATGGTTCTTTTAAAAGCGTTATTATCCATGTTTTATCAAAAAGATTTTGTAATTTTTTATAAAATAGTTACTTTCTGTAACAGAGTAACTTACTGCCAATATCGTTTGTAGTTTAAATATATATATAATCTGATACGTAAATTAAATTTACTGTTACGTTATGACAAAGAAATCAGTGTTGCTCAAGTATTATTAAAGTAAGGTTCTTATTACAACAAGCATTGCTGCTTAAATAGTCATTAATTTTTGATCTCTATTGGACTAACTAGTTCTAAGTTATAACTCCAACCAAAGATTGTGTTTCAAGATGGATTAAATTTTGTTAAATTATGTTTTTTTTTCTATTATTAGCCTGTGAAGGAACAGGTGTCATGTTATCTCTCTCTCTCCAACACAAAGGGAGGTTCCTGCGACCAGGCCAAGTGATCATGAATGGCGGGCCGCGGCTCAACAGTTGATGTTAGGAATTTGTATAAATGATAATCTGCGTAAGAATTCTTTATACGCGATACGGGATTAGCAGTTACTCCGTAGTTCTGTGTGTCTTCGTTAGATGGCGTTGTAGTAGATTTCTTTATTTATGTAGAAGTCCCACCGTTAGAGTCGACATCTCGACACCGTAAGTGACACATAACAGGCGGGATGAACTAGTTGAAGACCTTCGTTTCAAGGCATTGCTATGTATGCCGCATGCATATGAATAACTTTGATATTTGAGCACGCCAATCGTTCTGGTTGCAATTTGCTTATCGAACATCATCTTGGTTTTGAGAAAAATAAAAGATTTTTGAGTACAATACAGATTTTGAGTACAAAAGACTGTTCTTAGGAACGATGTTCTGAAGATGGGGCCAGGAGATGGATAATATTTTTGCTGGTTTGGCTGATTAATGGGACTTATAGTCCATCAATAGAAATGGTTGCAAGCATGACATGACAGCCTAGGTGATAGGTCTTCTGTGGGTAGGAATATTATAAACTGCGTCTCCCGACAACAAGTCTTCTGTAGCACATGTCTTGTAATTTTGTACAGTTGTGTAAAAAAGAACTTGAAATCCGACACAGTTTCTAAGTCACGTAAGGGTTGTACCTTAGATTATTATTATACACGGTGATTTTTTAGGCGTTTTGGAAACGAAACATTTTAATTTGGAATCATCTATAGTACCAATAAAAATGATTAAATCAATTGTAATGTTGTCTAAAAAAAGTTTCAGTTTTAATATTCATTTTTACTCGATCGACTTGGAAAGTAGTAATGGACTGATCATTCATTCATTATCTTATATGAATGAAACACGTCCGTGCGTTTCGGCGGCCGCTGCGCACCGCTGACGCTAACAGCAGCTGATAAAAGTATACCTATAGGCGCGAGCTAGCAAGTACTGACGTAGATAGACTCCAATTTGTCCTTCATACTTTACACGGGCTTAGGATCGTCGGAAATACCTATTTTATTTAAACTTCTTTTCGATTATTAACCACGATTGTTCTTTTCACAACAAATCAATTTATCAACGGACTGCAGGTATAAATATTTCAAGCGTATTTAAAAAATCGGAGCTATCTACAGAAAATTAACTTACATACCTATTTACACTATTTACACTTCTCTGTATCGACGCAACTGCTCAAAATGGAGTCCGCTGCATTCAATACACAAACGTCCACGTTTAATGCAATTGTTTTTTAATTTTCTTAATGTGTATCTATCACTTTTCACTTTATCAAAAGCATCCACTATCGCAATGCGTAAATTATCACGGCTTTCATATTCCCGTGTATAAACAAGTATTTTTATTTCCGACCATAAGAAAAAATCCAGGGGCGTTAAGTCCGGGCTTCTAGGTGGCCAAGGCACTGGCCCTCCTCGACCTATCCACCGATCACTAAACTCATTGTCCAGGTATGCACGCACTACACTCCGGCGAATAATAATTTAAACGTCCTTGACCTTGCGCGTGAGTATAGTATTTCTATTCGTAGTATAAATACTACGTAAACCTACTTGCGATTGAAAAGCCCTACTACTGGTTCTCACCTTTTTTCTGTAATGGATATGAATATCGACTTTGATGATAAAAAATATATATATTTTATTAAATTAACGTTATATATAGCTTCTGTTACTGCTAAATAACTCCAAATTTTCTTTTCCAAAACGCTTTCAAAATCACCGTTTAGAAATATATCACACGTTGCTTTCATATTTTGTATTGTTTAGAATGAGGATTTGTGTGATAAAAGTGTGTAGAAATTATAAAGGACGATATAAATAAAATCAGCAGGTCACCTTATATCGGTAAGTACCATTGTTTCGTATGTGTCGCTGATCGCAAAGTATTATTTCTAAAATATATTATTATTGTGTTCGCCATTTTGTATGCGTGCCTATTTTATGAAATGAAGTCAAAACTCCCTTAAAATGTGGCGTAGGTATGTATTGTATGTTACTAGTATGTATTGGATGTAATACATACTAGTAACTTCTTATCTCTGTGGTTATATTTAGTGAATTAGTTCTATTCCAAAAGCTATAAAATTGAAGACTTAAACATTTGAGGCGGTTTAATTTTAAAGTAAATACTTTTTAGCCGGGTTGAGTGGTTTGTGGTAGGGATAATTTATGAATTGGCGATACTGCGTTGGTGCAGTTGTGGCAATGCGATTGCTGTGCAGTGCACACGTAACAACTGCACAAACGTGCATGTCTCGGGTTCGATTCCCGGGTCAGACAGAATGTTTGTACGATCTGCAAAAAATTATAAGTATGTATTTTGGGAGTTTGTATTTTCTTAATGTTATTTTTCTCTTAAAAAAAAGTATATAAGTATTCATTCAGTCAATCTAGCTTTCATAATACAAGCTTTTCTTAGTTTGAGGCCAAATGGTGACGTGTGTAAAAAAAACAATGTCACGTGTTGATCAAGACGTTTAGGTACATTTAATTATTTTCAACCCATATTATATTATTGTTATTCTTAGAGTATATTTTTCTGGTTTGAAAATTTTCAACAACTGGTAAGACATTTATACACGCACACTGGGAAAGCAAAATGACGTGAGTGAGTGTAGTGTGTGACGAAGCTGTCTCGCACACTATACTCGTAGTCCAAGATCCCAGATCATTATGACTTATTTGTCATTACAATTTGTCTGATTAAATATAACTTTGTAATAGTTGTCTTAGTAAAATATTTAAAAATCAGACATGTAAAAATAAGTTCATTTATTGTTTTTGGAGCTTTAAAGCGTCTGACAAAGATTCTGGTCCATAGACAGCCTCCGAAACTTTTGATATTATTTCAGAGTAAAACCTATTTTACAAAAAATATATAAAATCCAGCCATACAAATTTAAGTAACTCTGGTTTTTTTGTTAACTTTATCACCTGGTACCTGCCCAGGTGTCACCGAGTGAACTCCTCAAACACGCAGGTAATAAAAGTACATGAGACACTACTCAGAACCAAAGGCTTCATCTCTGTGAAAATAAGTTATGTCTTAAGGCTTTGGGATCTTACTTAATATTGAAAACTCGGCTCATTTATTTTTGTTCTTATGCAGCGCGTTCTATACATATTAATAAACTAAGAGTTGTATTTTCTTTATTGGTGACGGGGTGGAAAATCCCTTCGGACCTCCGGCTTCTAGGGGACGCAGGAGCCAAGAGTATGTGGTGGATGTGATTTCAGGTCCTACCCGGATCGACACCGCACTTACTAGGCCCTATAAAGAGTGAAGCCAGAGGCTTTCCCTCGCCTATCACTAAATCGCATTTTGTGCAATTAGGCAGCCACCATGTCAATTACTTCAGTTATCAATGTGCCACCAGGCGTCCCCACTCTCTGGCAGCCTGCGGCCCCGTCGATGGCTGATATCGCCGCCGACGTCCTCTACGCTTGGGCTCGGCCCTCTCCCGATCCCGTTTAGCGGTCTCTTTCTGGAGCATTACAACTTCACAGAAAGAAAATATTTTTTTAATATTGGCTCAAATTACACTGATATAAAGTAGCTAAAATTAGGATTGGGCATTAGTTAGATAATAATTTTTAAACTGCCTGCGTTTAACTAAAAGTTAGTTTATGTTAGTAAATATTGTTATTGGAGGATGGCAATACTAAGTCATCATCATCAACAACCTTAAATTGTCCACTGTTGGACATAGACCTCTCCTTAGAAAGGAGATTTTGGCCTAATTAAATATCACATCACACATCAACAGCCTTTAATAGTCCACTGCTGGACATACTTCTCTCCTTAGAAAGGAAGTTTTGGTCTACTTTACCACGCTGGCCAGACGGGTTGGTATAGAGTTTGTGTTAAGATTTTCTTCTTTTTGTGATCCACAAAGTGTTGTTCTGAGTGTGAGTGTTCTTTGTGTCCATTTCATGTATGTTTGTGAAGCCCCTGGTGACACAGGATATATTCCTAGTGTGAGAGTTGTCTTTTGAAAAAATAAAAACCAAATTGGCTTTCTATAATCCATAAACAATACAATAGGAAAGCCTTAATAAATAATATCGATTGATTTGGAACTATTTACAATTGGCATTGTAAATGTTATCAAATAGACATAAATACTTTGAAACAATAGTAGCAAAATAATATAATAATTTGAACAATAAACACATTATATTCATCTAAATCTTATGTTACATATACATATTACATTTAGTACACTAAGGAGAACTTTCTGGTTCTGATGGACTTTTTTGGGATTCTTTGCTTGCATTATTTTGCAATTCTACATGTTTTTCTAGGTATCCCACAAATGTATGTTGGCTTTGGTTTAGTTGTCTCACTAGGCATGATCCTGCACTATCCAAAACGGCACACAGTTGACTCCTAGCAGCATCAATGTTTGCCATTTGGCTGAATTCTAACAATTCATTCTTTGACATCAATCTATCTTGAATAATACCAGCTGTAAACAAATATCTATTTATAACTAATTTATTCAATTACATTTCTTAAGACAAACTGATACAATTTTTGAAGTGAAAACTTCTTTAGCGGCATTGTACAATTTTTTTGTAATGGGTAAAAAATGTTAAACTCGCGTCAGGACACGTGACCCTGATCGAAAATTCGTAAGAAGGATGGAGAGTAGACAGCCGACGTGGCGTAGGAGAGGAAGTATCCCCCTCTCTTTAAATGTATGCCTGCGCCTGCTGTTTCGTTTAGGCGGCGCAGGGCACTTGCGTGAATATTCGTTTTTTTGAGAGATAAGCTTTTTAATGTAATATAAATTGTCATGTTTGTGTACAATAGCGCAATAAATAAGTATTGTATTCTACCACATAAATGATAGTACTTTTATACTGATAATTAAAGCAATTCGTGCAAAATTATTCCCTAACCATTCCAAAATATCAAAAATGCACAATGTTAATACTCAAGTTTTCACTTCTGCCGGAACTCCCGGAGTGCAACCTGTCGTTTTTTTTTTATCATGACAAATGTGTTGTACTTTGTTTCAACACACAGCTAAAGGCAAACAGCTAACCTCTCCTTAGGCTTGCTATTGCAATAGACAAAGAAGGAAATGCCAAGACCCTTGACAATGACTCTATTTTAACATAGAATATTCTGAAGTGGGTACCATAGTAGGCACTTAATGAAAGTTTATCTTAATTTATTAATGTGTCTTTAAGTCTCAAAATCATTGCAATATATTAGGTTTATGCAATTATTATTTAGCACCTTAGTCATTGTATTTAGTAATAAAATAAACCTAGCTGAAAAAAAATTAACTAAATTCATACTTGTAAAAGTCTAGTCAAAAGTTTACTAACCCATAATAACCATTTGTGGTGTTTTCTTCAATATTTGGAACATTTTCGCAGCATTTTCAGGCTGCCCAAATATTATTTCTTGATGAGATGTGAACAAATGATTCACCGCTTCATAGCGTGTGCCCTTAGTAGCCATGCTTACAATTTTTTTTCCATACCTCCTCAAATGCATGTTGTTTTTAGCTAAAGTGGCAAATATTGGAGTTTTGTCCTCCATACTAATGGAATTAAGATGCACAAATACAACCATCTTAGAAGTATTAAACCAGTTCAGACACTCATTGGCTAATATCCTTTCAAAAGGGTTGTCAATATTTTTCCTACGGGTTTTCTCGCCCCTGTCACAAAGCAGAGCATCAGGCATCTTATACTTTGGAATTCCATATATAGGTTTGGAGAAATCAATCAAAAGTTGTCTCTCAAAATGAGGTTTCTTGGGTTTTTGGATGTTAATTTTACCGCGAAATCGTTTAGCTATTAACAACGGAGACTGTATAGGTAATAAAACTGAAATTAAAAGTAAGAGCTAAAGATAATTGCTTTAAAACACAATATAATGAAAAGAAGTCCATTAACTGTACCTTTATTAGCAATAGACATGTTTTGTATTCTAAAGGTACGGTTCAGTAAAGCTTGCCAATGTGGTCTATATTGTTCTTTGGAACAATTAGCAAATCTGGAAATTAAATTATAACACCAATATTAAATATATATATAACCTACAATTTTATTTCAAAATAGTCCACAGTGTTGCCAGACTTCAATCAAGATTATTTTATATTAAGAATAAATCCAATTCCATAATGTATGAATTATAATATGATGGGGCGTTTACACGCTTGGCAAGCCTCGATAAGTGTCCACAAGTCCACAAACTCAAGCGTGTAAACAGGGTATTTGGCTTAGCTTGCTTGAGCTTGTCGTCGATTGGGGCTACTATCGGTTTTTGAACACTCTAACACAGATTCACAGATCAAAGGAAGTTTCTGGCCAGCGTTTGCGACTTATTCACATGTTTCAAGACTGCTCATTTTGATTGAGTTGAGAAACAGTTGAACAGTTGGAAATCAACATTAAGTCTCAATGCTTAGGTTGAGCAATAGCGCTAGAGGGTTTATTTTTATTAATCGTTCTATTAATCGTTTTATTAATCGTGTTGAGTGTCACCGTTCAAATTTTGAATAAAAATTGCAAGAAAATAAATGGCATCCAAGCGTATAGGCTTGGCGCTTTTAGACGTTTGCCAAGCCTCGACAAACGTGTAAACTATGCATAACAATGTTGGTATTAAGTATGATTTTTCAACGGATCTTATGTGCAATGTGCAATTGAATTAGTTTCTGAACAAAGGTATAAGGTAGGTATACAACTAAATCTTCAATTTCCATTTGCATTTCTTTTCTGTGCTTGACAGACCGTAGTAAAAAGCTAATAGTTGTGTCACTGAGCTGAAAAGATAGTTACACATCATTTCACTCTAAAGATATATATCACTCATCTATCTCACTAGCTCATTTAGCTCAGTGATCCAATTCAATTGATTGGTCTTTCAATTGATTTATTTCTTCGTCTAGATCGTTTAGCTTAGTAAAGAGGATGGAGATCACTCACTTTAAACCTCTGCCGCTCATGCAAACCTTTCTCTATTCTCATATTGTCCTAAAGTCAGTTCTTGAATATTCATTTTTAAACAATTTTTTAAACACAATTGTTAGTCATTTAGTTAAGATTGATTACATAATTATTAACAGCCTTTTATAAAATAAATATAAAAAATGAACAAATTATTTTCCTAGTACGTTTATTAGGTTGTATATACGAAATCAGACATATTACTTTACTTTCTCTTCGTACTTTTCCTTCGTAGCCCTAAATTTTCAAATAAGTCGTAAGCAATATTAAACTTTGAATGATAATGTAGATTAGATTTTGCCTAAAGAAACTAAATTAGCGTGAACTTATGTATCATCTATTTCACTTATCAAAATTTGTCTAAAGTTACACTACACACAAACAAAGACACTACACAACAAAGATCAAAGATCGGCGCCGTTGAGCTACTGAGCTGGAACTGAGTTACTAATAAATTCGGAGCTATCAACTAGCATGAGTGAGTGAAACATTTAATCGGTGTAACTGATTAATATCTTTTAGATCACTTACTTAGGAGCTACATAACATTAAGTTGGGCTTTTGTGAAAACACTATCAGTTTTGATCTTATAATCTTATAATATAATTTTATTATCATTATCACATATAATAAATCGAGAAAATTCATAAAATCCCTTCCTGTGTATTTGGAAAGTGCACAAATTAGTACAGAAAGGTAAATTATAAATAAAGGAATATCATACTACAGGTAAATGTATGTTTTGTGCTAAACTGAGTTAATAGATGTATGTACTGTTACGAAACCAATATTTTGTGCGTGCTGAATGAATATAACGTGTCTTCCTTAAAATATCATTGAATACCGCAATATCAAAAAAAAATCACAAACCCATCTGACCAGTATGCCACATGCTTATTTACTAACTTAATAGATAATATAATATGAGAAATTAAGGGTAAAAGAAAATTATAAAATGCATAGATAAATATACCAAAAGTTTTGAAAATGTAACTTCTCTATCTGTCAAAATTCAAGAAGATACTGTAAATAGCTTCAAATGTCCATACTGTCAATATCAATAGTCAGTCAAAACCATAGATAATACATATTGGTCAAAACATCTAAATTTCTGAGCGGTGTGTTCCACATATTTTGCGATTCTCATAACTCCTGCTGATAATATTTTTAATATTTAAATATTAGTAATTAAAAACAGCTTTTTATATTTGATTACTAATAAGGATACGCTTTAAAGTTCAAAACCATTTTTCTACAGAACGTGTGTGATATTATAAGCGGTCAAATTCATGAAAGAGGTTATTATTTTCATTCGTAAACAACGTAATACACCGTGTTGTTTCATCGTTGAAACTTAATAATTACTAAAGAATTAAAAGTTAATTCACTGATTTATGTTTTCAGATAATGAAAGGTGAGGAGGACACGCCACCGTCTTCCGTTAACGGTGATGAAGTTACGGGATTAGACGAGGAAGGAATGTTTTACGTGGAAGAAGTTGAAGAAATAGACCTTGACGATGAAAACATGGAGGATGTCACCGATCAAGAGGAGGAAGATGTAGAAATGGAACCCCCTGAAGACAATGCTGTGTTAGTTTTCAGTAAACATACTGGTTCAGTCTTTTGTTGTGATATCCATCCTGATGGTAAACTTGCTGTGACTGGAGGGGAAGACGACAAAGCTTATGTTTGGGCTGTTGAGACTGGAGAGTTGATCATGGACTGCATTGGGCATAAAGATTCGGTTGTATTTGTGGGCTTCAGCCATGATGGTGCATATTTAGCTACTGCAGACATGTGTGGCTTGATCAAGGTGTGGAAGTGTAACTTAGACGAAAACCAACAAGAGCCTTGGACAGTTGCTTTTGAGTATGAAGCAGATGACTTGATATGGGGCCAGTGGCACTTTGGAACCAGAGTACTATTGATTGGAACTGTCTCAGGGAATATTTATGTATTGAAAGTACCATCAGGAGAAACTAAAGTGTTGCAAGGTCATAATGTGAAAGTTGAATGTGGCAAGGTAAGCATTAACAAATTATTTGAGTTCACATTTAAATTCAAATTATCTTTATTTCATAAAAAAATTAAAATTGTTTGAAATTGTCTCTTATGTAGACTCTAAAAAATCGTAGATCAACACACACAATACCAACAATCTCTGTTTTTTCATTAAGTAAGTTTTATTATGTATGTAGTAACTTTTCATCATCATACCTTGGATAATAATTGTCATTCTATTTGTAGAATGCTAATTAAAATTAGTAGTGCATATTTTTAGAAACTTGCTTTTCGAAATTAACCAACCTTCTCGAAGAATACAAATAGATATGATTATCCTTCTAATATATTTAACCATTGGGCTTATGATTGACTTTCTATTTATTATCATTAGTATCTTAGTAAAAGTTCAATTTTGTCCGTTGATTAATTGCCAATCTTAATAATAAATAATAATAATAAACTTAATTGCGAACACAAGACTCATAAGGGTATATACAAAAAAAAATCTTAACAACAAAATCTACAAACCAAGAATACTAAGACACAAAAAAAGTAGAAAGAATTATTAATCATTTTGATCCAGTGCTTGTACATACATGACGTAATTATTTTTTCTGACAGATTTCTTGTAATAGTATTCTTACACCGGTCAACTCTGGACATGAATTTTACTATATGGCTTCTCTGGGTGGTTTCAGTGAGTTGACCCAGGAAGCGGTCCAGTTGCGTAGTAGTCCCATCATTTGCACTGATAATTAGTCCAAAGTTGACAAGAGTAGAATGTCTGAGTAAAGCAGCGAAACAATGTTACTTTAACATGTGGGGAAGACAGTATTTCCTACTGATCATGTTGCCCACAACACATAGGGCTCTCAGTTGCAATTCAACATCACTCTCATCCCTCATTTTTGATGTCACAATGTGGCCAAGGTACCTACTTAAAGTTTTCAACTACTTTGATAGGTTGTCTGTCAAAAAACAAGCTGGAAACGCTATCAGGCCTCTTTCAGGACCTAAATATTACCATCTTTGTCTTTTTAACATTGTATATTAAGCTATGGTCTCTTTTTCTTTCACTTATTGAAACAAACTTTTCACATATGGAAATTAGCTGTCTCAAACCTCTTATTGTGGGACTGAGAAGCACCATATCATCAGTAAAACTGAGATTGTTGACATATCTGCCATCCAATCTGAGCCCCACCAGGGTGCCACTCATCTCAACGATGAGATCATTTACATTCATATTAAATAGGTCTGGAGAGGTAAGCCGTCCCCGTCTCCGCACGCCAGCCTGTAGCTGTCTGACAGCTCTTGACACCACCTGATGCTATTGGTTTGATTACGATACGATTAGTTAACAAATCAACGACCTCACGCGGAGCATATGTATGTTATAGCTTTTGCCAAAACAAGTTATGATTCAGAGTGTCAAAAGCACGACTTAGGTCTTAAAAATAGGCGTATACGCACGTCTGACCACATTTGTAATAGTTAACAACTTGTTTCAAGCCAAAAAATAGCTATATTTGTTGAGACTTGTGATCTAAAACCGAATTACCAGTACCCTGGCAAATATTGTTCCAAGTGGGATTAGCCATGCTCGATACATCACCCATTCTATTTTTAGGGATAGGCACAACAAGAGTTTTAATCATTTCCTGGGGAAGGTAGCAATGTCTCAAACAATCATGAGACAATTTCGTTAAGACAACATACATGTTGACCCTCATTCATCAAATTCGCATTGATCTATTACCAGACTATCAAGCCCTGGACTCTTGGCGCGTCTCATGTTTCATAATATGTCTCTGATGTCATTAGGCGTTACTACTAATTGACTTTGTTTTATGTTATTTAATCTACACCCTAACTTAATATTATTGCCTATGTTACTCTTATTAAAATGTTGTTTAAACATGTTAGCTACATACTTTTTTTACTTCACCTTCAATATTAACTGGCATGCTAATTCCACCATCCAATCTTTTCGTCTCTTTCCAGAATTGCACAAAGTTACCCTCTTTATGATGTCGAGCCAGCCTATCCATTTTTATTTTTTGTTGGTTGTTCATATTGAACAACAGCTTAAAACTTTCTCCTAGATGCGGACATTTTGCATCATGTGGACATTATGAAATATATCTTAGAAAATTATTATATAGCTTGTTCGCTTTAAGAAAGTACAAATATGCTTCTATAATGAGGATTGAAAATTTTGAAGAAATGTAATTATATTAAGAAATAAAGATATTGTAAAAACAAGAACTTGTGAATAGACATAGAGTCCATTCGTGTTTAGAAATTAGTGACGAACAGTAGAAGGCCTGCCCTTTGACCAATAAGTTTTTAAGAAATTATTGTTTTGTACGAAATCTTGGATTCTGAAAGCATTTTTGTCTAAGAGTAGATGAATGTTCTTGATACACATCTTCCATGCCAAGTAAAATTTTTAAGGAAGGGTAGTGTTCCAAAAAATATCAGTCACTATTCAAAAATATTGGTCATAATGAGTACTTCTCAAAATAATACCCCGGAGAAATTAAACCCTTAAAACGCCACGCCTTAAAACGAATTGATTCCATTGAGGCAGTTTTCTTGAGATAAGTTTCTTAATGTGCCATGATAATTATTCACTTACTATCAAGAACTTGTTTGTCACTTTAGGTAACCTTATGGTCAGTCTGTATAAATAATAGTATTTTTTCTTGTGATCTTTCAGTTATTCCAAGATGGAATGCGATTAGTAGCTGGATACGAAGATGGTGAAGTTAAAATTTGGGATTTAAAAACTTCAACAGTATTACACTCATTGCCTGCGTCAGCTCATGAGATGAGAGTTACAGCTGTGGATTGCAATCCTGAAAATACTCTTATGGCTTCAATATCTACTGACGGTATGTATTGGCAGTTTTCTAGTTAATATGACATTTTAATCTATACTAATATTATAAAGCTGAAGAGTTTGTTTGTTTGTTTGAACGTGCTAATCTCAGGAACTACTGGTCCGATTTAAAAAAATCTTTTAGTGTTAGATAGCCCATTTATTGAGGAAGGCTATAGGCTATATATCATCACGCTAAGATTAATAGGAGCGGAGCACCAATGAAGAATGTTTCAAAAACGGAGAAAATTTATTACTATTGAGAGACGCAGACGAAGTTGCGCGGGTCAGCTAGTTTATAATATTTTTAGTTGTTGCGATATTAACTTATGAATTAACAGATATGTTAATTCATAAGTTTATTTATTTCTCGATGTCTAAAAAGTGGTTATGAAAATCGTTTATAAAATTATGTTAACACTTGGGCATCACCACAACTATGAATATGAGAACTTTTTTATACTTATATCTTAATTTAAATTAAGATATATATACATATATAAATTTGATATTGTAAAAAACGTATGCGATATCCTTTTATTTTTTAAATTTTGCAATGAACTGACTTCAATAATTATATAATACAGCTGTTGCAACAGGTACATGGAATCAAGTTTTACTATTTCTGTTTTTATATATAAAATCTTAAAGAAATTCTGTGTTCATAAGAATGTTTTCACAACAACTATTATCTTAATAAAAAACAAGTTGTTTGATGTGCTCTTGTGTTGTACCATGGCCAGAGCTAACTCAGTACCAATAAAACTCATTATGCTAAATGATCTTCTGGATTCGGATGATTGTGTTGCTTGCAAACAAAATCATCACTCATCCATCTGATGAGTTTGTTTTGCATGGATGAAATTCCAGCCTGATAGGTTAATTATTTTTCTATGAATAACTTTTATTCTAAATTTTAATAAATGATTTAGTTAGAGTAATATTAGATTGTACCCTTTCTAGCTAAAATTAATAAATAGTTCCAGGTAAAAATACACATCTTACATATATTAATCTAAAAAAAAAAGTAACTAAATAAAACTTAAATTTACAGGTAAAGCTGTGTTGACAACTACTAACAATGGAAAGGTGGTTGGACAATTAGAAATAGAAAATTATTTAGAAACAGTAGCCTTTGCACCAGAATTAGGATTACTTGCATTAGGTAAATATGGCTTATATTTATACTTAATTAAATTTAGATTACATTTATACTTAATTAAATTTAGATTAGATTTATACTTACTTATATTTTTTAGTTAGTGACCATATGAAGATACCTCTATTTATTTGTCTTCAATAATCAACACCAATAGCGATTGAAAATTTGAGCTTTTTAGTGAATGTATGGGGATTTTCCTTGCCTTAAGAAAATTACTTGTCTATTATATTTCTTTAGGCTCATCCCCAAACGCTAGTACCGATTTTCACGGGTTTCTCAATGATGGATAGACAGAATAACTTAGGTTAATTTTATATTGGGACAAGAATTAGGGACAACTGATAGTGAATAAGGCAGATCTGCTCACTATTGAATCACAAATATTGTTAAAAAAATCATTATTTTCCGGCTAAACACTCAGTCGCTATTTAACATTAACTAATATGTTTTAGGAACACTAACGGGTGCAGTCAGCATATGGGAAGTAGCGAGACAAATGCGGCGTAATGAATGTTCCAAATCAGATGGCAATGAAGCTGGAGGTGTTACTAAAATGATTTGGATCAAAAACTATTTACTAACCGGATGCTTGGATGGATCTATCAGAGCATATGACGGCAGGAGCGGGGAAATGGTTTTGCAACTGACTGGTCACAGATCGGAGGTGTTAGATTTTTGTTACAATGCTAAACAAAATGTAATACTAACTACATCAGATGACAGTACTGCAAGAATTTTTACCCTTAAAGATACAAGAGTTTCCCAATAAAGAAGAAGACGTAATCATTATTTAAATATTCAACTTTTTTCATAAAATACATTTATTTGACAATATAACATGGTAACAAATGTTATACGATTTGTTAATAACAGCAGTAAAAGAAGGAAAGATAAATCTTTTTTATGAATATCATAGTGATACGTTTTTATTTATTATGTATATTTGTACAATACAATGTATAATAACAATATTTTTGAACTAAATGTGTTTTTATTTAGTAAGTGAATGTCATAATATAAACTAAAACTATTTGTTGTAGTTACCACGCGTCACACGTTGTACTACTATTAGTAATAGCAAAAACTAATGTACGTACCACTCATTCATTGAATACTTAGAAGTAAATGACGTCTGTAGCAAGTGGTATCATTATGTGTCAAATAATAATTTGTTGTGTAGAGGCGTTACTCAAGAGCGCAAGTCAGCGATTATACAAAAGCTGACCCCTTTAATGCCAGACAATAGAAAGTTTTTTTGGTATAATTTAACTACTGATAAAAATAGTGTTGATCTTACAGAATTAATCTTAAAGACTAATTTATAAGTAAAAATACCTCCTAAGGCTGTGGTAATGTTCCTAATGATATTAAGAGAATCTTGTTTAGTTATTTACCGACTTCAAAAAAAGGAGGAGGTTCTCAATTTGTTTGTTTATTTATTTTTTTATGTTTGTTACCTGAGAACTTTTGACTCGGTGAACCGATTTTGATGTTTCCTTTTTTATTTGAAAGCTAGTGCTTTCCGAGTGGTCCCATTTTAATTTGCTTCAGTTCTGATAATGGCATCCATGAGAAAACCATATAAGTCTTAAATTTGCATTCAGTATGTTTGCGACAAACAGATGAATAACTCAATATCACGCCAACCGATTTCGATTATTCTTTTTTTATTAGAATGGATGTGCTTTAACGGTACTTTGATGAGAGTTTGGTTAGATTTTTATCATGGGATCCATGACAAAGTAACGGAACTCTTCATTTCTTAGGAGCAAATTAACGATACTCGGCTGAATCTTTTATAAGCTATCCGGATATTTGAGTCACCTGCAGTAACGTCGTTATGGTCAAGTAATTGTCGTCATCAACAGCCTTTACTAGTCCACAGCTGGACATACGCCTCTCCCTAGAAAGGAGGTTTGGCCTACTATACCAAGCTGCCAATACGCGTTGGTATAGGGTTTGTTTCAAGTTTTCAGTGCTGTTGTCCTGCGTAGTTTCCTCGCTCAGTCGACTCTTACGACACCAATGGGATGAAAAAGGGTGGTGACATTCTGTGTTCTTAATCCAGTGAACGAGTTTCAGGGGTTTCGTTTGATAAGCGATCGTGAATCAACCGAAGTCGGTGGGCACGTTGCTCCTCCGTCTCATTAGATATACGATTGTGGATTAATCCGAAACGGTGGGCACGTTGCTCCTTCGTCTTATTAGATAGACGATCGTGGATTAATGCGAGACAGTGGGCACGTTGCTCCTCCGTTTCTGGTGATAGACGATCGTTGACCAAGCCGAGACGGTGACTACGTTTTTTGATATTTTCCGTGTTCAAAACCTTTTTCATGTAAAGCCGCATTTTCGAAAGTCTATTTTTGTGCTCTTCGCAAGTCTCTTTTGAAATTGTTCTCGAGGTAGATTGTGTCTGTTGAGATAGGCGTTTCACCCTGACTTCGTTTGTTTCATTCAAACAGAGCTGTCTCATATGAGCAGCAAGTTTATTAGGTCTACCCATATTCAGACAAATTAGTAAGTGTACTTCAGATCCTCTAAAAATCAAAAAATAAATAAAAAAATTAACAAAAAGAAAACGACTTCATAAAACACTCTTCCAAAACAAATTAATATGCGTATTCTGCTACAACTCAATAATCAACTTACTTTTTCTACTCATCAATATGTAGGTACGATCTATGTGTTTACCCGGCAGGAAGGTAGATAGGTACGTACCCACTTCAAATCTAACTCAACATATACCTATGAATAACAAACAACGATCAAAGTATTTTTTAGAGTTCTAAGTAAAATGAAATGAAAAATATTAGACTAAGTACTTAAAAGCCAATCAAATTATTACGATAATATCATGTAGTTACAATTGTGGTTATTTTTGGAGTCGGTGTCAGCCAAGGAATTACTACGATATACCTAGCAATAATAATACGAGAATACTTTAAGAAATATTTTTTTTACAAATTAACTTTTAAACGATCGACAACAACATACTGTCAGTACTGTGACAGAATACCAATTCCTAATTAAACCCGTTTACAAATTAACTTTTATACGACAACATACTGTGACAATATCAGCGACCTTGAAACGAAATAAATACCCAATTAAACCAAACAAACGAACTTTAATACGACATACGACTATGCTGAGACATAATGTAGCAAACGCTGATACGAAAATATAGCCAATATTAAACACAAGGAATAACTGTAAGAAGGACGGTGCAGATATAGAACGAGAAAAGATTCTGAAAAGGTTCGTGATCAAGTGATTCGTTTCACTTCTTTCTCTTGACTGGCGCTGCGCGTGCCCGGCGTGTCCACTCTATAACTATGTATATACAATGTACATTGTTAAGGTAAGTTTGTTACCTTGGCTGACACCGACTTCAAAAATAACAATAATTGTAACTACATTATATTATAGTAATAATTTGATTGACTTTTAAGTAGTCTAATATTTTTCATTTCATTTTACTTAGAACACTAAAAAATATTTTGATCGTTATTTGTTTATCATAGGTATATGTTGAGTTAGATTTGAAGTGGGTAGGTACCTACCTACCTTCCTGCATGGTAAACACATAGATCGTACCTACATATTGATGAGTAGAAATAGTAAGTTGATTATTAAGTTGTAGAAGAATACGCATTTATTTTTATACTTTTAGTGCTTATTAATTCGTATTGGAATAGTAGTTTTTGAAGTCGGTTTTTCTTGTTAATTTTTTTATTTATTTAATTTTTAATTCTAGATTTTATTTTAAGAATTTTAAAAATGTTAATTTATATGATATGATTATTACTTTTAATGTTTTAATTATTTTTTATTTCTGAAAGAGATTTAACATTTTGATGACTAACGTTTAGGAAATTACCGAAAAAGAGCTTAGGTAACCCCAACTCTCTTATAACTGTGATATTATTTTTGATTAGAATAGATAAAGCTTTTATTTTAAAAAGAAGTTCAACCTTTTGCCGAGCATATTTTAATTAATGATTACAATTTGTCCGTTTTTTTTATTTTTGTGAAGCAATTAGAATTTTTAATAATAAATATATAATAAATTTAATTGTGTGTTTTATTATAGTATAAGTGTTAAAAGTGTCAAAGTGTTTATCAGTAGGTATTGAAAGGGCGCATATGTATTTATAATACTGATTAATTTTTTATTTCGCTAAGTTGAAACGCAGCAAGTGGCTAGAAACGTTCTTTTATTTTGGTAACGCGTTATTGCTTAGTAAAAAAGACGTACGATAAAACTACTACGAAAAAAACGTTTCTAGCCAGAAACGCCTTTTCATTGTAGTATAAAGTATTTCTTTGCAATTTTTGTACCACAAGGAAACGTAAAATGTAGATTATTTAAAGGAATTTATTTTTGTTCAATTTTTAATAATTCATATATAGATGAACCTTTTGGGCATCCACCAGCATAAAAATATAAAGCCTACAGAAACTGAACTTACAAATCAGTTTCAATGCCTCGGAGAAGACAAGAAACTCAAGTGCATGCATTTGCTGAATCTAATTTGACACCATTTAGACTAGCAAACGGCCCTAAACTGGAACGTGGGCCTCGTTTTTCGAGACTAGGATTTGCCTGGAACCATTAATTAAGTATACCTAATTATTATGAATTTAAAAGTAAAGTTAAAAATTAACTTTATTATCTTCATTTACATAAGTACTTTGGTATAGGATTTGAGTCAAGTTTTTCTTCTCTTTGCAGTGCTGTGGTCCTGCGTAGTTTACTCCCTTAGTTCGACTCTCACGGGATGAATAGGGGACGTGACACTCCATGTTCTTAATCCGTCACCACACGGATAAGATATGAATAAACAAAAGCATTATCATATGTGGCACATTCCCACAAGGACTAACGTCGCCGTACCTGGAAATTGTTAGCAAAATAAATACGGCAAGCAAAAGCAAACTTACCGACTCGTTTACATTTTTTAAATCTTAGTTTCTTCCTATCTCATGTTCTTACATAAGGTTAATTTTATATAAGAGTAAATCTTTTAATGTTTGTGAAATCTATGAGTCAATAAATAATTCTATTTTATTAATAAATGCTTAATATAATATAATAGCTAAAAAGTAATGAAACTGGTCAACTACAGATTTCGTTTGTCAAAATTGGCCCGCGTAGGAAAAAGTTTGCCCACCCTGCTCTCGAGTGTATATTTTCCGTTGCGTCTCAAAATAGAAAATATCACATTTATATTATTTTTAATAGGGTGCGTTGCTGTAGTTTAATGTTTTGCTGCTTTGCAGTTGCCATTTATTACCCATACATAACAGTTAATATTCACACATCACATCACATCAGCAGCCTATAAAAGTCCACTGCTGGACATAGCCCTCTCCTTAGAATGGAGGTTTTGGCCTAGGTACTATACCACGCCACGCAACGCCAGACGGGTTGGTATAAGGTTTTTTTTCAACTTTTCCTTCTCTTTTTTTCCAATACTCAATCATTTATTGCGTACCATCTTTGCAGTGTACCAAATTTTGCCGAATTGAAATAACTTAAAAATCTTAATTAAACAATCTCAAATCATAATGATAATCTTATTAAATCTTTAACTTTATTATTTATTTTAAAGTTATGGAATTATGTGTTAAATTAGTTTAATATTAGTTAAAGCCTCACAATCGCATTGGGTTTCCTGTAAGGATTGTGTAGGATGTGTTTGTGATAAATAAATAATAAAAAAACTAGTTTTAGCTGCAAGTCATGTTTTGGCTAATAAAAAACTTGTAATGTTGGTAGACCTAAATATTTGGTAGTAAATAAACATAACATTTATCTTCATCATTGATAATCGTATCACCACGCTGTCATTGACCTGTTTACAGAGAACACGCTATACTAAAATGAATTGCTCATATCCTGATTACTACGTTTAGAAGCTGATCCTATTGTATACGGTCAAAGTTCTCGTCATTTGAATGTTAGATTTATTGAAGTTTCTTGTAAGTAATTCAGTTTTTAAAATAATTTTGCCAATTCACACGTGTGCTGCATGGAACGATGGGAATGAAAAAGTAAAAACCAGTTGTCGAACTTGGCAGTGAATTGTGGTCACCGCTTTCAAAATAATTATATACTCAATTGCTTGAGTCTTAAAGTTGATTTTAATTTGGTATAGTATTAGACCCATGTCATTTCGGGCTTGAGTTGAGTCATCCTTGCGGACGCAGACGGGGCTCTCGTAGTTTCATGTTCATGTCAAAGTAGCGGTGTGACTGGCAAAGTGAGCGCACGTAAGGCGAACGCATCTACCGTAACATATGGAGACGATCGGGGCCGGAAAAATTCATTACGGAATACTCATTGACTATTTTCATTACATAAATATTGCTCCACGGTATTAGAAACATAAAATAGTAGACTCAAAGTATAATTTACCGCTTGCTGCTATTTTTGAATATTTTAACCTAATGTTTCTCACGTGTAGGACCGTTTGCGGTAGTATTTATTATTAGTTTGTGTTATCAGCTGCAGCGTGTTAATAAGTCGCTCTAATAACTGTGTTTTATCAGTTCATGGCTATTCTATGGTGTTCGGCACCACACGTGGTGTTTCCTGTCGCAGGTTAGTCCGCAGTGTGATGCAATATTTGCACGTTGTTGTCTGTGAATTTTCAGTGTAAAATGTGTGAAAGTGTATAATTAAGTTATTCGTATGTATAGTTAACAGTTTTTGTTACAAACATTAATTCTAAAGTATACGTACACTTGAGTAAATAACTATTAAAAATGGCAAAAGTGAGTGATATTGACGTATTGCCTCCGAAGACAATGGAGATGGGTTCAGAAAAGAGTGATAAGGAATCGAGTGAAGGTGTTCGACTTAAGAAGGAGCTAGGTTTAATGAATGGTGTGGCAATAATTGTGGGAGTGATTGTCGGCTCTGGGATCTTCGTGTCACCGAGTTTTGCTCTTAAGTATGCTGGTTCTAAGGGTATGGCATTAATAGTCTGGGTACTTTCCGGTCTCCTATCCATGGTCGGGGCACTGTGCTATGCTGAATTAGGTGAGTACACTTTAATTAGCAATTAATGTTCAGCCTTCATCACCTAGTTAATAAATAATTGGTCGCCATTTATTTGTATTTTCATTACACGTGCATAACGAACTTGATTAAGTGATTTTAATGTAAGCCTAATGTACCATAAGTTTTGGCAGTAAGTTTCTTAAATTTGATTACGTTTTATATGCATGCAGAAATCTTTTTCTCTACCTACTTAAGGTAGAAAATTGAAAATAACTAAGTGTACAAGAAGCCAATGATTATTATTAATGTCCATAGTATAACTTTAATTTTTTGAACCGTTCATTTTTTCTATTAATTATATACAATTAAACCAACAAGAATCAAATAGGGTGCATAAACTTTGCATTTTGATACGAATACGTCGTTGAAATAAAAACCAACTATAGGGGGACCTCTAACTGTTTCTATCTGTCTATGTCCCCTTCGGTAAAGTACTACATCGAAATACCTTGGATTGTAATCATTACTTATATACGTGCGACATTCATATATTTGCACAAAAGTTGTCTTGTTTGGTAACATTTTACGGTTGTCTGGCACCGCGTGGTTTATTTTCGATTTCGTCATCCACGCGCGGAGCATTTGGTTAATTTGGTTGTTCATCATACGTGCAAGTATCATAACTGTAACCAATACAGTTAGATATCTAAGCAACTCTTATAAGAATTCTAACTTTTTATTTTAACTTACAAAAATGTACCTAAAGATACATATATACGGTATATAGCAGTTTTGAAAGATCAATAACTGCCAAACAGCCGCATTGCATACCTATACCTATACTAGGTGCTAGAATTGAAATCAGACGATAGAAAGAACGATAGACGAAGTAATAAAAATCTGCCTTGTACCTAAGGTTTTTTTTTATTTAGAGCGGATAGTGTGCTATGCTTTAACAAAGGCTTTAGGCCAGCGAATGTCTAATTATGTGTATGTTACTTTAATGGCTTGAATTTGTACTACAGGTGCAGAAATAAAGAAAATTAATTTTATTCAATTGTAAGACTCAAAGAGATGTAAGATTAAAATACCTAAGTAACTCTATGGATAATAAAGGTTCACATGATATTATACGGTATCTACTAGGGAATCTGGTAGGGAATTGAGAAATCTAAATTTATTAATTTATTTGTATGAATATCTAATTTTATTTGTATCGGTTTAAAAAGAAACGGTTACAGCCCTGCTTCAATTTTTTATATTTTTTTGCGTAAGATGTGAAGATTAGAAATATAATGATAAGGAATTGGGAAGGCGAGCCTTTAATCTACCATCTTGTTTGCGATGAAGCAGTTATGAAGAATTCGAGCTTATTAGGGCCAAAGGAAGAGTTGGTATCAGATTTGTATTTAATTAGTATGCAGCTTCCTTCGATAGACATAGAAATTTGTTGGATTTATGAAGCATAAATTCTGCAACTATGTCCTGACTCTCATCAGGGCTTGACCTTTATTATCCTACCCACAGGTCTGAAGCATTGAGTTAACTCTGTTTTGGCCAGGGTTATGTTATGGGATAATAAATTGGTAATTGCAACAAAAAAATAGACCTTCCCCTTCTTGTACCCAAACATACGAGTACAAGTTACCTTCACAATTTAGTTGAGACTATAAGAAATTGAGCCTCTTAAATTGTGCGGCTAGTTCGATCAATCACAAGTCTGACTTATGGATGTATGATATACAGGGGTCTCGTGGTATTTTGATCGATCTATGATTACTTATTTACTTACAATATTATTCCTATTAGAATGATATGCTGATGGTGATTGATCGATTAGGCATTAATGGTTATCTGTTTTACCTAGACAATTCTCTTAATATGATACCATTTGGTCAAGGAAAAAATATATTTGAACTTGGCCGATGAGTTTGTTGACATGTTAGTTATAATTACGTAGATACGGTAATCATGCCGATACTCATATCGGTCCGTGGATTGATAGGCGGGCCTTAACCAAAATACTTAATAAAATTATACCTAGTGTAGGTCAAGGTTTTAGAAGAGAAACTTACCTTTATTTTGGTTAAGACCTAATAAAGGGTGTAAGAATTTTAACAAAAGACCTCCACCTTCATGAGTACAAGATTTACCTAACTCAGGAGCTCATCATGGCTAATGGAGCAAAGTAAATTAGATGCCAATTTTTCGAAAAAGTCATCTCCTCCGATGAAGCGCATTTCCAACTGAACGGCTATGTGAATACACAAAATTGACGAATTTGCGGCTCAAAAACTTCTTATGCAATCCATGAGAAACAAATGCGCCCACAAAGAGCAACTGTCTGGTGCGGATTTTGGTTAGACGGCGTGATTTGGCCTTACTTTTTTGAAGATGAGCCCGAAATTGCAGTGACTGTGAACGGCATTCGTTACAGGAATATGATAACGGAATTTATTATTTTTTGTGGCCTCAACTGGACGGTATGTATCTAGACAACATGTGGTTTCAACAGGATGGCGCCACACCGCGCATGAAACAATCGACTTATTGCAGCAAGGTTTTCCAGAACACATTATATCACGAAATTCTGATGTCAACTGGCCCCCAAGATCGTGCCATTTAACGCCGCGCGATTTTTTTCTTTGGGGTTTTGTGAAATCTCGGGTTTATGCGAATAAACCAGAAACAATTCCTGAGCTCAAATCAGAGATCCAAAGCGTTATCGGTGAGATATGGCCACATCTCTGTGTGAAAGTTATGGAAAATTTCATGAAAAGAGTAATGGCCGTTCATCATAGCCGTGGGGCCCATTTGCCGAATATTTTATTCCATAACTAATCGGAACATGTCTTCTATACACTCCAATAAAAATATCACAACTCTTTCATAAAATACGTGTTTTTATTTTAAAAAGAAAAAGTGCACTCATACTGAGACACCCTTTATAACCTGACCTCAAAAATGCAATAAATCACTTCAGAGAAATGGACCTCCCTTTTCCTTTCGCTCGACGTAGGAATAAACATTGAAGATACTGATACCAGTGAAGATTATTACATTAATATAATCAATTGCAATCATATTTTTCTTTAATGGCAATTTGGTAGTTGTCGCCATTCCCGTATGTTTGCTATTGCGCTCTGAACATCTGGGATACTCTCCACACATACAATGATAATTATATCTCGTATAATGATAATTCATATGGACTTTGTGATACTTACGTATAGTATACGTAGATAGAGGTACTTTTAACAAAATTTAACATGTCTGAAGTTCTGAAAAATTATGTTCTATTTTCAGGTACAATGATACCAAAGTCTGGAGGTGACTACGCCTACATAGGGGAGGCATTCGGTGCTCTTCCCTCATTTCTCTACCTGTGGGTAGCGTTATTCATTCTGGTGCCCACTGGAAATGCTATCACTGCTTTGACTTTCGCTCAAAATATTCTACAGCCATTATGGCCTGCTTGCAAGCCACCGACTGATGCTGTAAGCCTCATTGCTGCATTTATCACGTGTAAGTTTCGACTTAATAAAACTTGGAATACATTCTAAACATTTTGTTATTGACGATTATTTTTTCTAATTCTCATTAGGAAAAGGTAATAATTGAAAAATACCTAAACATATTTAAAATAATTTAAGATATTACGAAGCTAAAATATTACTTATATTATGTAGATCTTATGAACCACTCACCTTAAATTAAATAAACTATGGAAAGCACTAAAAACGTGTCCAGTATTTATTGATTAATTCTGAGCTTGCGCCCTAAACCGTACCCGTTTTGACCAATGCAATGTAAGGTGATAGGGGTTGATAGGGGGATTAAATGGAAGCTAACGATCTAAAGGGGTTCCCGATAGGGCTTTTTATTCTAAACTTTTTTTACCACTTTAAAAAAGTGTCCATAATTTTATTTTAATAACGTTTGTATGAAGTTTATTTGGTTATTTAAATTATAAACCGCTGTACTTAAGTATAATGGTTAGCTGAAAACCGCTAATTCTATATTTATATGATATTTAATGAATATATATGGAAGGTTTAGTGCCATAATTCTCTTTTTGATTAATAAATGTGTCGCTGATAGATTTCAAAAGTAGACCTTACGAAAACTTCATTTTTTCATGACCAATATTATTGTGCATTAATTACATACGGATAACTTTCTTGATATTTCTATTTAAATAGATGTCGCATCTATGAATATAGTATGCATTATGTAAATACCTAGTTATCTGTGAAATTTTTACGACAACATAAAAATCATTGAATATATGTACAAAAGGCTATTCTTGAATATTAACATACATTATGAAAACAATTAAAGTTTAGTATAGTCGAGACTCAAGATTAATTCGTATAGTATTCTGTTATGGACTGAGTATTAGAGATAGAGAATTACATAGGTAGTTAATGTGGAAGTAGCCGTTGCATGATAGCAGTTATTTAAAAAAAAACATTTCATTCTTTGTATACCTATTCAATAATATTGAATAGGTATTTGTTTTATGTATGTATATTTTTTTATTTTGTTTTATCATCGGTCAATTATACATGTGTAAATTTTTAATATCGTGTAAAGTGCCTAATGCTTAATGTCTCCTCAACAAAACATTTGCTTGCACATGTAATATTTCATGTGCAATCAAAATAATGCGTAATCTGTAAACTGTAACCTCATTGTGTGATATTAAACGATATTTGATTAATGATAGAGATAAGACATATTTATCACATTATAATTAGTTCACAATTCGTCTGTCGTGTCAGCATATAGTACTACGTATTCAGGTTATACAAATTATAATTATCTCCTAGTCTAGAAGATGAGAAGGACGTTGTAAATGATTTTTAGTTTTGTATCCATTTTATGCATTTAAATGTCAGTTTTGTATAAATTACGCTTTAAAATAAAACAAATCAAACACTACAATAAATCCTTTTTTATAGTTGTACCTAGGAATTTGACACTCTATGAAGTCTATGAGGGCCGAAAACTTAATCTACTGCAGGCCTTTGTCAGGCTGTATCAGTTCTCGGTTATTATAATATTTTGGATAAACTAACATCAATTCATGCTAATATTTTTATTGTTACAGATATGTTCACACAATTATATTTTATTATTTCTAGTTCATATATAAACATAATTTATTACTTATATCATGTCATAGACAAATTTTAAGTACAATCGACTGCACGGATGGCGTAGTGGTTTAAGCGGTCGCCACGCCGCTTCCTACTACGCCGAGTGTAGTGGGTTCAAACTCCATATGGGACGACACTTTGTGTGATCCACAAATTGTTGTTCTCTGTCTGGGTGTTCTTTGTGTCCGTTTCATGTATGTTTGTAAAGTCCCCTGCGACACAGGATATATTGCTAATGCGGGAGTTGTCTTTTTAAAGAATAAATAAATAAGAATAAGTAAAAATATATCATCACAATATCATTATCATCAACAGCTTTTAATAGTCCACTGTTTACTTTACCACACTGGCCAGACGGGTTGGTATAGGGTTTGTTTCAAGATTTCCTTCTCTTTGCAGTATATGAAGAACTAGCTGAGACCCGCGGTGTTACCCGCGTTTGTTGTTATAAATCAACCGCGATTGCTGCTAGGTTTTTAGTGCTCTCTGTTAGTATTGTTTAAAGTCGGTTCAACTTTTTGTTAAAGGTTTTATTAATACAAATAAATAAAATTGGAGTGTCTGTTTGTAATATTAAAATAACCGCTTTTTACTAAATGCATATGTATGTTTACACGGTACATATGCCAAAATAACATTTAAAAAAAAACATCTATACAAATAAATAAAATTGGAGTGTCTGTTTGTAATATTTAAAAAAAACGCTTTTTACTAAATGCATATGTATGTTTACACGGTACATATGCCAAAATAACATTTTTTACAATTTTTGTCTGTCTGTCTGTTTGTTCCGGGTAATCTCTGGAACGGTTGGACCGATTTCGACGGTACTTTCACTGGCAGATAGCTGATGACATAAGGAGTAACTTAGGCTTTTTTTAGACTAGCTTCGTCCCGCGGCGTTGCCCGCGGTTATAACAACAAACGCGGGTAACACTGCGGGTCTTAGCTAATTAGTACTATAATTGACCTTCTGCTCAACACTACAACAATACAACGATATAATAGCAGTTAATCTGCCACCGGAGAAATCGGTCAATATTTGTTGTAAAATAATCGCAATACACTGCCGAAAAAATCGAAAATTTGTTTTTTTTTAATTTTTTTAGTAATCATCCTGCAGCCATGACACTTAATGAGAATATGCAATTTAATCTAGCGCAGTTCCCTTTATCAAAAATGACTTTACCACGGCTCATTTTTTTCGTATTTTTTACTTTTTTGTATTTTTTTCAAATAATAAAATGGCGTTTTACAAAGTACGACTTTTTCGGGCACACAGTGTTTTGTCACTACCATCTTTTTTTTTAATTTTCATAATCAATTGAAAAAAAAAATTAGCTGGTTTTGAAGTTGAATGCTCCTGTACTTTATATTTACTGGTTGAAATAAAATATCATTTCTATATCTATTAAACGTACCTTTTAATAATCCCGAATGTATAGAATGATGCATTTGATTTACAAGCAATTAATTATTTATTTGCATTTTAATAACAAAGTTACGAGTTCCTTATTAATAGATTTACAAACGTATTATTAACCCAGATCTCAAACACATTTATAATCGTTCATTGTATTTAGTTCATTTTCGTTTTCTGAATGGTGGTTCTTCGTCAGATTTTATAATTTCGTCAATGTGTTGATAGTCGGTATTACTATAGTTTCTTGTCTCTTGATATTCACTTACTTCTTCTTACTTCTACTTCACTAACAACTTATCCCTCGTACGTACTTCTTGATTCTGTTTACATGAACGCGGTGGGAGATTTAAAATGAAACATATGACCAACAACTGTTTTAGAAAGTAACAAGTATCTATAAGGCACGTAAACTTAAACACATTAATCAGCCATTACGCTCGCAAAAATCGAGACAGCAAGACGCGGCGACAAAATAGAAATATACAAAATGTTTTGCGTGATGAAATGCTGTAAAAACGGTAGTGAACAAAATAAAAAAAAGTTGAGGAATCACGTTTCATAGATAAATGAATAATTCAATCACTTATTTCCGGATTTTATACCTTAAACTCAATCTGCATTCGCTAGAACAAAACAATTGCCAATTTTTCTGGTTATTAATAAAATCAACTAATAAGGTTATTTATTTAATAGTTGCTACTATTCTTATATCTTCATATATTTCATATTCTTTTTACTAGATTTTTTGAGGAAATAGAGTATGGAGAAATTATTGGATTCAAATAATTAGAAATTGTCATGGTGAGAATGAAAGAATGATTGAAATGAATTTATGTTGTATAAATAAATCCTCTAAAATTCTAGAAAAGTTTGTTGGCAATAAAAACGTTTTTTAAACTTAGAATCCCAACATGCTTTCAACGGAATAGAACACAAAATTATTAAATATATATATCGGCTTTTTTTAACGATTCGTTTCACCACATCTCGAAACTAGATGAAATTTCAAGAACCTTTCAAATTAAAAAACATTTTTATAAAAAAATTACTCAGCATTTAAGATATTAAACAGCAGAAACAAAAAAAAAGTTTTATTTATTGACTGTGTTTTTAGGGCTTAAATTTGAGTACCTTGGCAACCCCAAATTTATTCACACATAAAGAGCTGCCGCCATTACGGTACCTGTGTTTTGTCTTAGCGGGAGTTCCGTCCGACTTTTTTTATACGTCTATGCTTTTTAATAAATTCTTAAATATATTTTTTTCAACAGTTTGCAATATGTTTTTGCATACTATCAAGATACATATTGTCACCGAGTTTCACGAATGTAGGATGATTATTAACAAAATAAAAAAAAAACAATTTTTGATTTTTCAGCAGTATTTTGCGATTGTTTACAACAAATATTGACCAATTTTAATATTTCCAATGGCAGATTAACTGTTATTATATCGCCTACAAAGTCCAATACTTTAATAGATATTGCTAATCGGCTTTAAACTATTACTAGCTTTACTAAAATAATTTATTTTTGCATAAAAACGTTAAAAAAATATGTTACAACACATTAAAATTGAGGTTTTTCATAGGGGACGTCCATCAAACATCTATAAACACAGTCGAAAATGTCAGGAATTTCGTTCCAAATAAGCCTTCCGATGACATAATTCTACTGGCCTAATAGATTGTTATCTAGATTTAAATATATGTTAAATATACCTATCTACTACTGTTAAATATATCTCTATCTATTTAGCTAAGTACAGTAACCAACACTGAGTAGGCGTCAGTTACATTAAAAACTATTAAACACTAAACAGAAACGTGATTGTCCGCTCTAAGTAATTTATAACCTTCTTTGTTCGTTTGGCAAAGACTCAACATTTGTAACAGCTGAGACCTTACTTATTTTAATTTGCTGTTATTACTTTTTCTGTATTCTTTTTGTTGATTTTAAAGAAAGAGATTTATGTAATTCTAAAAAAGAAATGCATTTATTAGTAGTTGGTTTCCAGGAAGTAAGACATATCGTAGATAAGGAGCCGCTGAATTTCCAAATTATTATTTAATTAACAAGAATGAGTATTTTAAAAATAATTTTAAGAACATTTATTCTAAAACTCATTCAAATTCGTTTCAGAAAAAAGTATTTTATTTGTGTAGGAGTAAGTAATTTTTGTAGGGATAAGCGTGTGACCCTGCGTTGTTGTCCAACGTATGTAGGTGATAACTCAGGCGGCATGCCATACGATTAGTTTAATTCACGATACAAGTCTTTCAAAGTGATGTTTATCTACCCACTGAAATACGCATACTAGTAAAACGTTGCCTAACTGCATCATTATCGGCATTCAAACAAATTCGCATTATATATTATGCGAATTTGTTTGTTACACTTTATACTGAACTAAACATTATATAATTTTGCAATTAAGTTGTCGAGGGTACAGAAAAAACATCGCACACATCACGCACCAGAAACCAAGGCTTTTGAGAATTTAATCGTTTGCCGACGGGACAAAAGAAAGAAGTTAAATTGAAGTCAGTAATATAGATAGAGGAGGCCAACAACATAGGGTGAGATATAAGATAATCATACATCTCTGGACATAGGGTAAAAGTATCGTTAGGCAGGCATGCATTGGTTGACGAAATCTATATTAGGCCGAGTAAAGCTGTTTGCAAAAGCTAGTATAATCTGGTTTGCCTGTCTAAAGTCTGCCAGGGCTAAGTAACACATTTTCTAAACGTAAATATATATATATGCCCTATAAATATATGCCCTTTTTAGAATATGCTTCATAATACTTAAAACACGTAGAAGTGACATTCATTTCATTCATTTATGAATACTTTTTCTTTTTGAATTGCATCGTATGAATATATCACTATGGCTTTCTTATGGATTGTATGATTACAAAATCATACAATCCATAAGAATCTTTTTGCGTTTGTTATACCAATCTATTTACACATATCACAAAAGGACATTTGAATTTTTTTCCGAGAACGATATCTCGTTAAATCTAAAACTTGCTGGTATGTGTCAAGTATTACTTCCAAGAACACGTTCAAAGATGAAGAATTCTCTCACGGAATGTACATAACGAGTACTTGTTTTCTATATGTACAAAAGCCAAATAAGGGGTAATTTATTTTTGGCGTACAGATTGGCGTTCTCATCACCCCATGCTGTGAACCGGTCTTACTCCCAGGAAGCGTGTTTTGGCAACTCATTCGAATTTGTAAATTATATTTTATTAAGCTTTATTTTCATGAGCTTTAAACGATATGATGTTATATTACGATGCCATACATATGTATCAGTATAACGAGTGTATTTATAAAGTTATTGACTGCAAAATTACGTTTTATATTCTGCAACCAAATCTCTTCAAACAATTTTAAAACATGGTTAGTGTTCGCAAATTCTACCTACGACTCTATTGTCGATTAAATTAAGTCAATTTAAATCTAAAACGAGATCAATGTCAGATAAATGAATATATGGTAACGATCACGTGTTACGAAAGCCCTTATGTGACGGAAGATCGCACGACAAAATGTATCACGGTTTGCGACGGATATGCGGTTTATTGTACTTGAGGCCTGAGACTGTCACTTCAATAGGGCGACTGTGTCCGTCTTTATTCTCAGTAGGTACCTATATAGGTGTACTATGGTGCGGCCGCTTGTGCTGATTGCTCCTGACAGGATAATGAGGGCTTCCTCCCGCATCGCACTGACACACACTCTAGTGCGGAATTATCACGCCGAGTGTATAAAGCAAAACCAGGAGTTAATAAAAACACACTTATTTTGTAGTTGCTGCGCAAGTTATGTCGATTTCCTTAATATTGGGCACTTATATCAAAAAATAAAAACGAACCTGATACAAGATAAAGACTTTTAAAGAGTCAAAACTTACAATTATTTGGGAGTTAAACAGCCTACAACTAATCTATTTTTGGCAACTGATGAAAATTTTACTGTTTTTTTTCAGGTTTCCTTACGGTTATTAATTGTTATAACGTCAAATGGGTGACACGAGTCCAAGACTCATTCACGGCAGGGAAAGTTCTTGCCCTGCTGGTGATATTCGGCGCCAGCTTATGGTACTTATTTTCCGGCCACACGGAGAACTTAGAAAACATAATGGAAGGAACAATTCACAAGCCTGGAGACATTGCCATAGCGTTCTACACGGGGCTTTTCTCGTATTCTGGATGGAACTACTTAAATTTCGTGACTGAGGAGTTACAGGAACCCTACAAGTAAGTGCTGTAGCACGAATATATAAATAGGTAAATCATAAATAGGTATAAAAAGAACGAGCGTACTCCTTTCTAAAAGGCCCGCTACGCGTTTGTGACTCCTGAGTTGCAGACGTTCATGGGCAGCGATGGTTACTTTGCCATTAGCTGACCTGTCTGCTCGTCTGCCCCCTCTAACAAAAAAAATCCTATAATATTGCCATTTGATTTTTTTAACAGATTTGACATTTGATTTAGTATTAACAGATATTTTAATATACATTAACATTTGAAGCAGGTAGATAGTTATATGGGTCAATGCCAAAATAAAAATAATTTGTTTAATACCTTTTTGACTTCTATTGGAAGAATACGTTATGAAATAAAATTTGTATTCGTATGGTGGAATATTATTATCCTCTAAAGTGCCCATGACAAAAAACTTTTGTTTATTAGACATCCTCTTGTAAACATTGCTAGATTTGTTTCAAAGAACAATGGCGAATTCGTAGTTGAGTAGGTATAATTTGAGCGTCTTAAAATGTCATTCACAGGAAACTAATTCTAGTAAATATCTACGTTTTATGAAACTATGACCTAAGTCAGTAATACCCCAGGAAAAGGAAGAAAAATATTATAAGCTTATTTGATTGTTTTAATTTCCTTTATCAGTTTAGTGTTACCATTTTATAGCCATATTTTTCATGTAGTGGAAATACTGTCCAATAAAGTATTATAATATGGTAATCACTTAATAGTAATATGGTAATCAGATAATAGTTTTATAATTCTTAGTACTGAATCAATAAATAATATAGTTTGTGGTGCGTTATTAAACGCATTGTTTACGAATTTGAAAATCCTGTAGTGGAATATAAGGAAGCAAAAAAAAAAGGGCAACTGCAAGCTGAAAAAAAAGCAATAGTTTTTTGACCACTCTTTACAGATGTTTGCGCTCTGTGTTTAAAAATAAAGACTAAACGTCTGACACGAATGGCCGCCGCCGATTATATTAATTTAGGTTTTGAATTTACAATTCATTACATGTTGAAATAGGTAATAAATTAAGGAAAAGGAATATACTTATTGGATATTATATTCCAATTAAATAAATATACTTATGTAAAAGATGATTATTTCATGCATCAGACACATTAAAAGTGACATTAAAATATAACCTACGAAAGTACTACAGCTAAGTGGACTAAAATAATTCTTTATTTTCTTTTTTTTTTTATTTAAATGGCACATATTTTACAGTTATAATTATCAAAAAGTTATGTAAAGTCGATAGCTATAGACAAATTAAAAAAATAAATTAAACATTAAGTACCTAGCTATGTTATAAAATACTTTATAATATCTATGGACTCTTTTAAAAACAGTCCATAGATGCAGTGCGTAACTTAAAACATTAAATGCTAATATCTTTTTTCCTACCCTTTTCAAAACAAAAATTGTTTTTTACGTAGATTCTAAAAAAATTGCCGATTTTTTAAATCTTTTTTTTCAATACAAGACGGTGCAATTTGATTCCAAATATTTTTTTGTATGGAGACCCACCATTACTTACCTAATTCATAAATGATTAATTACTACGACCAATTTGTCAGGAGTATAACTATTTCACACTAAATAAAAGAATATTAATAGATAAAACATTTTAATAGTCAATAATCAACAGAAGAGTTAGCCTCCGTTCACTAGGATAGCCTGCTCTGGGCATTTATTTGGATTTTTTGTCCACACCGTTCCCCTAGGGTATCTATATATGTATATATTTGGAATTTTTATCCATTTTCATCCCCAAAGGGTTTTATTTGGAAGTTTTTGTAAACACAACGTCCACTAGGATCCCACAGCGATTCCCTAGGGGATCTCAATAATCAATTTTATCTATTTTGACCCCCTAGTCAAAATAGATAAAATTGATTAATTTGGGAGTTTTGGTAAACAAAAATCCCCTAAATCTTCATAATTTAAAATCGATTTTAAATTAATGGCTTAATGAAGTTTTCAACGAATTTTGAGTTGTGTAGGAATATTACGATGTGCTATGTATTAATAGATATAGGATTAAGTATGATCGTATGTACGAATATCGAAATATTGAATTTATTTGTAACTTTTAGGATATTTTTTCGAGATAAATATACTACGTATTAATTATTACTGAGATTTTTTATGTGAAAAGTACTTTTATAAAACTGTTTTGTGTTCTATAAAACAACGTGCAACTAATATTAAGCAATGCGCGGGCATACCTCTATTTCTGCATTTGATTTTATACAGAGGTAGCTAATTACCTCTACCTATACCAGTTAATTCAACTCAAATTTTAACTAGTTCAACTAAATGGAACGCAGGGGATAATTATACTACTGAGAATAAACGTCATATAAATCCACCAGGGGCTCACACATAATAATGGGATCGCTGCGGGCAAGAAATCCAAATGAATCCCCTAGGAGAGTTCATCACGAGATTCAAGTGGACGTTGTGTTTAGAAAAAATGCCAAATAAATCCTCTTGGGGATCAAAATTGATTAAAATGTCGAATAGATTCCTTAGGAGATCGGTGCTGACAAGAAAGCCAATAAATTGATTAGGCGATTTAAGCAGGGGATCCTAGTGAACGCAGGCAAAAGTTGTCATTAGAAATGGTTCTATTAAGTCATACAGGTACTATAAATCCACACCATACACATAGAACTTCACGTTGCTTTTTAAGAGTACATATCTCTTCTTCAGCTTTTTATGGTATACCGCAAATATATCTTGTATACTCAACTAGGTATTTAATTTAATAATAAAACAACTAGTATAATTATGCATTTATATGATTTCAGAAACTTGCCACGTGCTATCTGCATATCCATGCCCGTAGTGACTCTGGTTTACGCTTTAACCAACGTGGCATACTTCGCTGTTCTGACCAATGCTGAGATCGGGGCTTCAGAGGCCGTTGCTGTCACCTTCAGCGAGAAAATCCTCGGCGTAATCTCTTGGATTATGCCCCTCTTCGTCGCTTTATGTACGTTCGGCTCTTTGAATGGGGCCATCTACGCGTCTTCTCGTCTATTCTTCGTTGGAGCCAGGAATGGGCATCTACCTTTAGCCATATCACTCATTGACGTCAGGAGGCTAACTCCTGTACCTTCGTTAATATTCTTGGTATGTATGACGTTAATTTGTCATTAATATTTTATAGAAATCGACTTTTAACGTCTTTCCAGAAGTTATTACGAGGCATGCCTTTTAAGTTTTGTCGTTTGAAGAAAAAACACAACTAGAACCTTATAGTACTTTTTATTGTTTTTCAAAGTATTCACCACGTAGATTAATACACTTTGCCATTCGCGCAAACCAGTTATTATAACATTTATTCCACTCTAAAGTGAGGGTGTTCAAAATGGCTGACTTGAAAGCGTCGACTGCTTCTTCACCGGACTGGAACCTTTGACCACGAAGACTTTTCTTAATTTTAGGAAATGTAAAGAAATCGTTAGGGCCAGGGTCAGGACTGTATGGAGGATGGTCAAGGATTTCTACTTTTTCCTGCTTAAATACTTAATCGTTTGACGAGCGCTATGTGAGCTTGCGTTGTCGTGGTGCAGAATGATGCGTCGCTTTGAGTTAGATTTTCGAAGTTCGGCGATGACTTGTGATAAACAAACTGTGGTATACCACTCTGCGTTAACCGTTCTACGATTTTTAAGTGCAATAATCGCAACACTGCCGGTTTTTCCAACGAACGTGGCCACCATCTTCTTTGAAGTGCTTCGAGAACGAACAACTTTAGTCGGCTTTGGCTCGTCTTGAAAGACCCAGATTGTAGATTGTTGTTTGGAATCAGGATCGTAGGCATAGATCCAAGATTCGTCACCACTGATGATGTCGTAGACGTAATTTGACTCTCCTCGGTTGAACCTTTGCAGAGTTTTCTTACACCATCTGACGTGGGCCGCCTTGTGATCGTCGGAAAGCAGATGCGGTATCAAAACTAGCTTTCTCACACCAAGCGCTTTATGCAAGATCTTCTGAATGGTTGTCCCTGAGATACCTAATAGAGCCTCTATCTCTACGTCACATGACGATCTTCGAGAGTAAGTTGTCTCACAGCAATGATGTTATCTTCAGTGAAGGCGGATTTGGGGCGTCCTTCGCGAGATTTGTCACTAACACTAGGATGTCCACGCTGGAATTCTAAATACCAGCGTTCGACAGTCCGCAGACATGGGGCTTCATCACTGAACACAGATGTTAGCTCTTCAAAACACTAAAGCCGTGTCAGGCCTCTTCTAAAGTTGTAGAAAATTATTGCACAAACATTTTTCTTAGAAAGATTCATTTTCGTTCGTAACCTGACAGATTCCAATCGACGCTGTTACAAAAAAATAGCATTAATCCTAATACTTTCAACTGTTTTGAGATTCAAAATTTAAACACATTCGAATATAGAACAGTTCCAAATTCAAAATTGCCGGGAAATATGGAAACGACAGAACTTAAAAGGCATGCCTAGTACCTTCGTTATAAAGTTTCGTTTGTTATATCGTTCAGCTTCGTTAAAAAAAAGGTGTTATTTGGTTTCAGTTATCAAATATATTACTGTCTAATATTTTCAGTGACGGACACGATTGTTTCAGTTATTTGTGCATATGCCGACAAATAGATTTTTACATACTTAAATTCTTATAGGAGATCGACATCGCATAGAGAAACTTTTGATATCCGAACATAGGTTTCACCAGAGACATTTATCAGTGTCAGTCTGTTTTTAAAGTTTGGTTGACTTAAGACCCGTTTTGGATGACTGCCTCGAGAGGCATCACGGAACCCTCTCATACCGGTTGACTCTAGTGATCACCGGGAAAGGATGCTTTGAAGATCACCTGTGTCTAATCCGCAAGGAGCTAACGCCTGAGCGTCACCACTGCGATGGCCGAACCGTGGACACGGCGCTCCACACACGCAGAATACCCGGAGTGGGTGGAGAAGAGTCGTTGCTTCGTGGCGGCCATCGGAGTAGGAATTCTCTCGCTCGGTAACATGATTGCCGCCATGGTACGAAGCGAGAGTTCGTGGAACTCCGCGGTCTCCTTCTGTGAGCAAGTTATGCTTTCAAAGGAGATGGCGGAGCGGGACCGGGAGAGGTTTAGAACTCTCCCGGCACGGGCCAAGTACCGCAGACGATTCAGGTCCCGGAGGTTGCAGAACGACCTCCGTCCTCTATAAGCGCAGGCCTGGGGGTGGCAGGTGTGGCCATCTGTCACGCTAGCAGAAGCAGGCCGGGGTGGTGGCGAGACGCACTGCAGGCCCTTTCGGGAGCACAAAGGGGACATAGGGGTTCCCACACAGAACGGGGTCATTTATCACGCCGTAGATGGCCCGAGGTACGTCGGGGTATCAGGGCTTTCCTTCTTAGGCTACACCTAGTTCCCCGGCAACTGGTACCCGAGAAGTTATTTTTTGGTTGGTTCGAGTCCGACATAACCACCGGTGGGTGGTATTCGAGGGGATTTCCGAACAGAAAAAAAGGGACCTACCTACATGATTGCGCTTATTAAATGGTTTTTGTAATACATCGACGGCCCTGTTGGTAGAGTGGCTAATGATCCTAACTGCTAAACCAGAGGTCGTGGGTTAGATTCCAACCAGGACTAATAATTATGTAATGAGAACTATCATTTGTTCTATGTCTGGGTGTAATCTATCTATAATAGTTATGTATTTAAAAATATATAAGTATATTTATCAGCACACGGATTAGCATAGTACAGGCTCTGCCTAGCTTGGGATCAGACGGCCGTGTGTAAGATGCGTGAGGTTGTTACTATTACACACTCACACTTGAACTAGTCACAACTATCAATATCAAAACAGCAATCACAAAAGTTAAGGAATTTCTACAAAGTCTTGGTCTAGATATTTCGATCATGATATTTTTGACAATTTAAAACTACTTACTTGTGACAAGGCCAAAATCATTTTATAAACATACAAAAACTCAAACAAAAACCTACAATGTCCTAAATGGTAATCAAACTAATAACAGTATGATGTAATCATTAAATCCTAAAAACGATGTTGAGGAAAATATAACATTATTTCATATTGTGTTCGTATTACATCAGATTATTGTAAACCGGTTTTTGCAAACTCCTATTTTCAGGATGAAAAGTACCTAATGTCATTTTCTCTAATCTTGGAGCTCTCCCTGACGATCGGTTGAGTAATTTAGCTTAAAAACAAGGAAAGTGATTTACACATTTATAATTAGTCATTATTAAATTTTAACGGGTATAGGTGCTACTTCCATACATGAGATTATTTATTAGTAGGTGGGTTGTTCTTTTGTTCATAAAAACAGTTTTTAATCGATATGTACGTAATCACAGCTCTTAAGTTAAAAGGGCCTGTTGGTCTAGTGGTTAGTGACCCTGACTGCTGAGCCGGAGGTCGTAGGATCGATTTCCAGCCAGGACAAATATTATGTGATGAGCATTTGTTCTGTGTCTGGGTGTAATTATCTATAATATGTATGTACTTAAAAATATATAAGTATGGTTATCAGCAGTCTAGTTACCATAGCACAGGCTATGCCTAGTTTGGGATCAAATGGCCATGTGTGAGATGTGTAAGGTATATTATATTACAAAAAAAGAAGACTAGTAGATATGTATGTACTCGTACTCATAGATTTTCCATTCTGACCCACTTTACGTTCGTTACTCTTTATGACAGAGCTATAATTTTGTGCTACTAATAAGCATTGAAAATAATTTTAGGTCAAAATCGTAAACGAATGTCAAAAATATATTGCACACTGTCTTAACTTTTATTTATAGAAAAAAGTAGCGAGAGACTTCAAGGTTAGCTAATAATCATAAGCCTAAGTAAAACACAACAAATCGTTTACTTAGAGGAAAAGTCTGTATTAACTAATTCTTGCAAAAAAAAATAGAAAACCCAACGAATAGTCTTAAATGTCTTAATATGTCTTAAAATAGCTTTTGATTGTATTTTCATAGTGTTACCTTTAACCCAAATCTCATTTTGTCTTTCTAGCAATGTCGCCATCATGAATAAGTTACTTATTGAGTTACAAAAAAGAGACACGGATTTACATTAAAGTACGAGTAATGTTGCTATCGGAATCAATCGGTTGGAAACGAAGAAATTATTGTTTGTTTGTTCTAAAGTGGTTCTCAATTCTCCCTTACTTTCTTCTTTTCAAAATTGCGGTTCTTAAAAATATCTGTAAAACTAAAGAAATCTAAAAATAACTGCATAACTACTTGTACTCGCAATACAAAACTGTTCATGTTCAGTCATGTAAAAAATGTACCGAGAGAGTCCACATGGCATGAATTATTTATGTCTGTAGTAACAACAAGAATGTAAATCGGTTCACATCGTGGTTCACATGAACATATCTACCGCCATCTCTTGACGACAAACTGAAGTATTCCATTCAATGATTTTGCAAAAACATTCACTTCTTCCTTTTGATAAATAGATATACTATATATAATTTGTATCTTTTTTTACAGTGTTTGGCAACGTTAGTGATGCTATCATGGCCGGATCTTGAATCTCTCATAGTGTACGTGACGGCAGTGGAGGCGTTATTTACGTTAGCATCAGTAGCCGGCCTCTTATATATGCGCCATTCACGACCGCAATTGCACCGACCCATACGAGTCCACACTATATTACCTGTCTCATTCCTCGTCATTGTCACCGTCCTCGTCGTGTGCTCAAGTATAGCACACCCTAAAGAAATATTTATTGGTGTCTCCTTAATAGCACTGGGTGTCCCAGTTTACTTCACTCTCATTGTATGGAAACACAAACCTAAGTGGTTACAATCCTCCTGTGATTTGTTTAATATCACCTGTTCGAAACTTTTCTTGGCTCTACCAGAGGACTCGAAGGAATTATGATCTTACAAAAAGTATTTCTTATTAATATTGTTACTCATTAAGTCTATATAATGTGAGAGGATTTGCATAATACTGAGTGATCTGTTATAAGTTAGTTAATCAAATTCCTATGCAGTTGGTTGAATACCTATTGTAAATAGATTTAAGAATGAATTTATATCAATTTTATGATAATTAAATACAACGATTGTTAATATGTTGTTTTGTTTCTTCGCTTGAGATAAACCCCGGCAGATTTTCAATTTTGTTATTAAGTTCAGCTGTTAGGTCAATCGAATTAATGATGCCAGGAAAAGCCATTTTCCAAAAAGCGTCACATACCAAGGTGCGGAAAAGCTGACTGTTACGTAACCATACCTATTAATATGATTATTGGGTGCCAACTGCTTCGTAAATATGATAATCGATTATAAGTAAGACACCAGGCAGTCATTCCTATTAAAATACATTATGAAGGCAGTATCTTGTACAAGCTCAACAAGGTCAACTGGTGTGCTTTGTACCGTTTACCAAACTAATACAAAGACATCGACGACATTTGTATCAGTGACAGTTCGGTGACACATCATTGGTCTTACATAGTTAGTATATATTAGAATACGAAAAGTGCAAAAGTGTAAAATTCGCATGACTACGCTGCCTATGTACATTATTGGACGCATAATATTAGTAAAAGTAATTACAGCTTTAATAAACTTTTATGCTCGACGTATACCACGGCTATAACATAAACGTTACCAATATATATCTACTAGCTGACCCGGCAAACGTTGTTTTGCCATATACATTATTTCAAGGACATTTTGAAAAAAAATTTAGGGTGGGTCACCCTTGTCTCTCAGACCTACCCGATGTGCACACAAAATGTCATAAAAATCGGTCTAGCCGTTTCGGAGGAGTATGGTAACTAACACTGTGACACGAGAATTTTATATATAAGATAAAAGAAGAAACTGACAGACTGATCCACTGACTGATCGATAAACGCACTTGAAACCGCTGGGTAGAAAGCATGAAATTTTGCACAAATGTACAAATCCTTAGGAGGCACGTGCATTAAGAAAGGTTTTTTTCTTAATTTTACTCCTATAAGGGTGTAAAATGGGAGTTGAAAATTTATTTTCAAACTTCGTCATTTTTGGTAGTAGCGTTTTCCAACTCTCAGTAAATACACTTAATTCAAACTAATAAATAACATTGTTACTAATTTTTCAAAACTACCCGTAAAAAGACAGTATATGGAGAATATACCTATAATATTGATTCATTGTATCCTCTACGATGTCTGATTTGGACCACCACGCGGACGAAGTCGCCAGCAAAAGTTAGTAAAACAATATTTGATGTTTTGGTGGTATACGTCTAGTGTACAGATCTTGACTAAAGTTTGTGCTGTATTCAGTTTTTAAATATGACGGAATTTTTCTTCATTAACAAACCATTGCATTCAAATGAACTGTTGATCGTGGCATGAAGACGTTGATTGAAGAAAATATTGAAAGAGGTGATGAATTTCCGCACTATATAAAAGACCATAAATCAGTGCAAATTCATGTGCAGTGCCGTAAAACTACACTAACTACTAAACTAACTACTACAACACCAACTGGGCCCTGTTTTATGAAGCTGACAATCCGACAAGTCCGACATATGTCAAAAAGTGACAATTCGACAATTTTTCTGTTTTATCAAACTTACAGGCGACAAAATTGTCATGGTGGAAAATTGACAAATATGTCGGATTGTAGCGACAATCTGACATTTTTCTGTTTTATGAAACTTTTTGAGCGACAGGTGACAGGTGACAATTTGTCGTGAAAAACTTGTCAAATCTGCTTTATAAAACAGAAAATTGTCATGACATATTGACATATTTGTAGAATTGTCCGACAATTCTGACAGGAACGTTACCCTCTGTCGCTAAATCATATTCTGAATTTTGAAGGTGTAAGAAAGTGTTTATAAAATCGAACCCGAGACCTCAGCACAGTAGTCGCATACGCTATCACTGCGCTACCGAGGCACACATAGAATATTTCATACATACCTACACAATATAATACATATCTAATTGATAACTCCTTTATTTAAAGTTGGGTAACGGTCTAAACAAATTACGAATTGATGACGTATAAACTAGTTAAAATATACTAAACCTTACCATGGTCCTTTTGCGCCAATTTAGCCATGTAGTGTCGCGAAGGTATTTCCAGTCTTTGTTGAAAATACCTAATGCTGTTATTTGTTCGACTATTTCCTTCCATTTTTTTATTTTTTATGTGTTTATTCGTCACTAAACTTTCCAAAGAGTATATATATTCCTATTTTCGAAAATAAGGCCCAAAATGGTAATTTTTTTGTGCATTTTCATTTTACACGAAATTTTAAAACAAACAATCGAAGCTACACTAGTGATTGATTCATTCTTTTACTCTGTTAATATGTTTTCTATTTTACCCTCATTTAGCTACAGAAAACATATTTATTTGCAAACATGTCAAAAGTCGACATAATTGTCACAACAATCCGACATTGTCCACCAACCATTGTCAGTAATAATTTGACTGTGGTTTTTTGACATATGTCGTGTTATAGTAAACGATTTTTAAATGACAAATATGTCAAGAATATGCCTGTCGAATTTTGACATATTTGTCACTTTTTTTTAAACACCCTAATCGCGACAATACGACAATTTTGTCACTTTTTGACATATATGTCGAAATGTCAGCTTCATAAAACAGGGCCCTGATGTATCGCTATTAGAACAATTTTCGTCAACTCAAGAAGATCAAGAAGATGGACAAAAAAAAAAGGCAAAGAACGAGGAGAGAACGAAAACAATAAGAAACAGCATTATCACATTTAAAACTTACCTTTTCCAAAAAATACGGGATAAAACACGAAACAAAACTTTTCTTGGTGGACGGTAACTTCAAACTAACTTTTATTGATAATATGATCACCCACTATGTTCACATATTTTGTGCAGTAAAGTAAATCGTACGTTAATTTTGCGCTTCTTAATGCAAAACCTTTTTAGCATGTTAGGTAATTTTTAACTCTGTATGACGCCCTAGTAAGAAGTAGACAGAAACTGTGGAATACTGCCTACCTATTTGGGACCCAATTTATAAAATACACATAGACAGACTTGAACCGATTAAAAAACGATTCGTTATAGGCCGTTTACAAACATGGCGAGCCTTGACAAGTGTCCACAAACACTAGCGTGTAGCGCGCGGGGTGTTTGACTCGGATTGCGTATGCTCGTTGTCGATCGGTACTAATGTCGGTTTTTGAGTGTTCCGTGGTTTTTGAACACAGATCAAAGGAAGCTCGCGGCTAGCGTTTGTGACGTATTTACACGTTGGGGCGTGCTTGTTTCCGACTGCACAGTAGGGAATCAACAAAAGTCTCAATGCGGTACTGATTGAGCAGTTTAGTTGAACAATAGGGCTAGAGAATATTTTTTTTTAGTTTAGTGCCTTCGTTTATATATTGAATAAAAATATGTCAATTTCTGCTATGTTTGCCTAATGTCTCTGAAAGTAGCCCACTTAAAAGGATGTGTAGTCAGTATATTTGTATCATTATATTTGTTCTGGATCTCAAATCTAGTGATATCTATCTTTAATGACAAATTATTTAACTTCAAAAAAGCCATATGTGATAATTTAACTTAGCGTTTAGTCATCCTTTGTTATAATTGTAACTGTTTCTAATCTCTATACCTTTATGTATTTGTCCTCATCTCTGCGAAGCTTTTAACTTTTAAATGATGTAAACATAATGTATGTTAAAATTCATTTATTTGTGTTACCTAAACTGTTGCCTTTTTCTGTACCTGGTACCTCTTTTAAGAAGAAAAAGAAAACGAGAATGGTGACTGACGTTTGTTTATGGTTCATTCTGAAAGAACAAACGTTTTTGTTAGTTCAAAAGTAATTCGTTACAACAATTTTGAACCTTAACAGAATGCATTTAAAACTGACCAAAACATGGAGGTTGTCCCATTCATGCAAATCTGCACCAAATCACCGATGGCCCTGGAGCAGATCCACTCTTAAGCATACCAAAGTCATATTGGATAAAGCTGTAATGGTAATGCAAGATGACTTATCTATTTAATTATGTCATTGATTAACATTATAATTTATTCGTTTTTTTAATTGTAAGGGATTTTATTTGAATATTAATTCTGTTTCTACAGATGTAACTTATACTATCGTAACAGCCATTATGTTTTGTGTTTGTTAATAGATGCTGTTATTGCATCACAGCTAAGCCAATTTACCTACCATTACTATTTGACATAATTGGCACTACATATCTTAAAAATAACTAAACAACCTGTCCACAACAAGTAACAATGTTTCAATAAACTAGGAATAAAAATAGCTGATTTAGTTTTTGTAACCGGCGACGCAAAAAGAAGGGTATCGTAAATTTAACTTATTATCTGAGTACCTTCGTATCTGTCTGGCATAAGAGCTATTGTTACGAGCGGGGTATACGATAAAAAAAGTAGTCGGTAATACAAACAAGAAATCACTATATAATTCGTTAGTCGCACTAGAAATTCGCTTCGATGTTATTTCTCTGTGTCGTAAAACAGTACCTACTGTCCCGTACGCCCAATACGCTCAGATTTTATAGTGCTATCGAAATTTTTGGCGAAAGCTTACTAGCTACGCCCGGGTCTCGTCCGGTGTAATCCCCTGTGCTTGGCGAAGTCGAGCTCCGAGGAATGGTGATCTCGAGGAGCGCCCATCAGCCAGCATCATGTCGGGTGTTGAGGATTTTAGAGTAGGGATTGTCACAGAGACAAAGTTTCGCGGCAGGGCATGCCTATCCGGCGGTCGACGATGATAGGGCGTGAACTCCCGCACATGGCGGGCTTGCAAGCCGTCGGCACGCACGCACAAGTTTGTGCTCAGGCGTCACACATAGAGAGGGTGCGGTCGATGGTCACGCCGAGGTATTTCACTGTCGCGGAC